GGTAGTCTTTAGGAAGAGCTTGAAGACCTGGCTATTCCGATGTGCCTTTCCTGAATAGGAAAACCCCAGCACTACGTCCCAGAAGCACTTTATTAGAGTTTAGGACTCTCTGCACACTGCACTTGCCCAGAAATCCAACATACCACCTCTCACACCCAGCACTTTTTAATCTGTACCCATCACTGGCCCGGCCCTGGTTTTTACTGCGTAATGGTGTAATGTTTGTTATTGCTTTATGTTAATTTGCTTTGAATTGTATTGTTGTTATGTTGTTGTTGTGTTGAGGCCTTGGCCTTTGTAAGCCGCATCGAGTCCTTCAGGAGATGCTAGCGGGGTACAAATAAAGTTTAATAATAATAATAATTCACCTACATCCAGAGAGCACTGTGGACTCAAACAATGATGGATCTGGACCAAATTTGGCATGAATATTCCATATGCCCAAATATGAACTCAGATGGAGTTTGGGGGAAATAGACCCTGGCATTTGGGAGTTACAGTTACTGGGATTTATAGTTCACCTACAATCAAAGAACATGCTGAACCCCACCAATGACACAACTGGGCCAAACTTCCCACAAAGAACCCCCACACTTAAGGCCATCCAGTCCAACTCCCTTCACCAGGGCAAGAAAACACAGATAGATAGATATGATTCATATCTATCTATCTCTTCCTACCCTAGGATTCTATTATTACTAATACTATTATTGCTTTTATTATTACCAAGCAGACTTTCTCATTACTTAATTTTCCATAACACCAAAATGTGCCACCTCTCAGGCCAACAAGTGACCATCACTCATAAAAACACTAGATAGATAGACAGATATGATTCACACAGAGAGAGAGAGATAGAATCATAGATTTGAAAGAGACCCCTAAAGAAGGATAATTATATGTTGCATATTCCAGAGTAGGCAAACCAGACAATCTCCACATCAACACTGACAAAGAAACAGCAAGAAGTACTGTTTACGCACAAGCATAAAGAAATTACATATATTAGAAACCAACACTTTCTCATTACTTTATTTTCCAGATCACCAGACTGGGCCACAGCAACGCCTGGCAGGGGACGGCTAGTCCTTAAATAAATAGCGGGCAAGATTGCCAAGCCTAAAATAATTCCTATCTTATCAAAGGATAGATAAGAAATTGGGGAGTGGAGAGAGAGGTGGGCCCTGCTTCTTCTCACCTCCTCCAGTTTCTTTGCGTTGCCGGTGACAAGCACCACCGTCCTCCCCGCAGCCGCCATGACCGCCCATGCGCATGCGCGCGTAGCCGCAGTAGGCACGCGCCCCGCGCTTCGGCCCCGCTACCCGGAAGCACTCGGCCTCTTCCCTCAGTTGGGACTGGGAAGTGAGCATGGCGGAGCTCCGGCTGTTGCCGCGCCGCGCGAAGGACTTCGCCTCGGCCGACTTCTGGGAGCGCTTCTTCCGGGAGCGCGGCGGGAGGGCCTTCGAGTGGTACGGGGCCTGGAAAAGCCTCCGGGCACCGCTGGGACGGTACTTGCGCCCGCAGGACTCGGTGAGAGCGGCTATAGCAGGCCATAGCAGGCATGGGCACACTTGGGCCCTCCTGGTGTTTTGGACTCTAACTCCCACCATTCCTAACAGCCTCGGGCCCTTTCCTTTTCCCCCTCAGCCGCTTAAGACAGGTTCTACAAAGGAAAGGGCCCGAGGCTGTTAGGAATGGTGGGAGTTAGAGTCCAAAACACCAGGAGGGCCCAAGTGTGCCCATGCCTTGGCTATAGAAACAATGGAGGAAACAGTGCAAAGCTTATGGCAAAAGGGAACAGAGGTGGTTTTTATTTTTCGTGTCAGGACAACCAGTCAAATTATATTACATTTCTAACAGAACACAGCAAACAAACAGACAAAATACAAAATTTGTGAGTTTGGTAGTTGATTAAATGTCCTTTGACCAGTATCTGGCCACTTGAGTGCCTCTGGTGTTGCTGCAAGAAGGTCCTCCATTGTGCATGTGGCAGGGCTCAGATTGCATTGCAGCAGGTGGTCTGTGGTTTGCTCTTCTCCACACTCGCATGTAGTGGATTCCACTTTGTAGCCCCATTTCTGAAGGTTGGCTCTGCATCTCGTGGTGCCAGAGCGCAGTCTGTTCAGCGCCTTCCAAGTCGCCCAGTTTTCTGTGTGCCCAGGGGGAGTCTCTCATTTGGTATCAGCCATTGATTGAGGTTCTGGGTTTGAGCCTGCCACTTTTGGACTCTCGTTTGCTGGGGTGTTCCAGCGAATGTCTCTGTAGATCTTAGAAAACTATTTCTTGATTTAAGTCGTTGACGTGCTGGCTGATACCCAAACAAGGGATGAGCTGGAGATGTCTCTGCCTTGGTCCTTTCACTATTGGCTGCTACTTTCGGATCTCAGCGGATCTCAGGTGGTGCTGCAGTAAGTGGAAAGGCATCTTCAAGAAGATGATGGCCAACATGTCTGAGTTTTTGAGAACTTTAGTTTTTCAGAGGAGTGATGCTTAGCAACCCACAATCTATAGCACAATCTTCTCCTGGTCTTGTTTTTGCTGACAGAATGGTGATTTTTCTGTCTTGTGCGTCCAGTTGGATTTCTGTGTTGGCCATCAAGTAAAGTCCACGTTTGCAGCACCTGTCTGGCTTCTTGAAGAATTTGAACGTGCTGTTGGCCTTTCAAAATCCCACCAACCATTCTCATGCTTCATTTTTAATCCTAGGCTAAATTCTTCTTCAATCTTTGATGATTTCCCACTTTTGCATTCCTATTGCCTATGATAGTCATATTTAAGTGTATGACGATTTTCCTTCTGCACTCCAGCATAATATCTTTTAGTTTTCTTCATCATCTGTCTCTTTAGTTGAAATGTAAATTTGGATTATAATTATATTGCTGGGCTTTCCCCAAGTTATTGTTGATATGATTCAGTTAGACTTTGCATTATACACTTTGACTGCTTTTACCACAACTTGATTTGAGATGATTAACTTACTCTGTTGGGGTCCAGCAAGGGAGATCCTTATTTTAAAGGCTAGTTTAGGTGCTAGAATCCCCTTTGCCTAGAAACAACTTTGGGTCAGACAAAAATAAATAATACTTCACTGCGTACATGAGGGTATATGATCTGGAGGGATCAGACATTAATTTTTACTTACAGAATATCTTTTTTATCTAGTTCTGATATATTTTATATTTATTTTTCAAAAATGGCTTGGTAAAATTGCATGATTTTTTTTACATGAAGTAGTTTTCTGATACTGTAATACGCCATGAGTTTGACAGCTGAAGTTGGCATATAGGGGCATTTAAACCTCATGTCTTTATTTATCTACATAACTTGACAATTTCAAGCTTCATGGGAATACGAAACTAGAAATAAGAAACGAGCTTTGTCTCATATTGAGTGTGTTTTTACTTTTAAATAAGAAGAGTGTTATTGTATCAAGAAGAATACTCAATATTCTCCTAAGCTGCTTTGTGCTTTTAGCAGGCATTTAAAAAAAATCAGGAAACATGAAAATATCCCTCACCTTCACAGTTATGTTTTTGATCCTGTGCAGCTTTTGAAAAAATGTTTGTGAGAATATGGGATCACAAAAGCAAAGCATTTCAGTGGAGTTGGTTAGAAAGACCTTGGTGTGTTACACACTAACTCTTGGGGTCTCTGTAGCAGCTACATTCTTGTGTGTGCACTATATAAAGGAAAACATAGGAAATGTAGAGATGGTCGATATTTCTTTTCATGGTTTTTGTCTGATTCTCCTGGAAATTGTTCTGTAAAGCAACCTTTTTGGTTTCCTCAAAATATTCTTTCTTTTCTTTCCCTCTAGATTCTTGTTGTAGGTTGTGGAAACTCAGAACTGAGCGAGGAACTCTATGATGAGGGTTATCAAGATATCACTAATGTGGACATAAGTGAATTGGTCATCAAACAGATGCAGGAACGCAGTGTTCATCTAAGACCCAAGATGACCTACATGGTTATGGATGTGCTGCAGATGGATTTCCCTGATGGGCACTTCCAAGTGGTGCTGGACAAAGGCACTCTTGATGCTCTGCTGACTGATGCAGAAGAAATCAGCCTGAGAAGGGCCGAAAGAATGTTTGCTGAAATCAGCCGGGTCCTGCGGTTTGGGGGCCGTTATCTTTGTGTCTCCTTGGCACAAGCACATGTGTTGAAAGCAGCTGTGGAACATTTCTACCAGCAAGGCTGGATGGTTCGAATACATCAAGTCTCCAGCAAAGAAACGGACACTTCAGAAGGAGAGTTTGCCCTTCCTGTCTTTGTCTATATTATGACAAAAATAAAGCCTGTCCCGGGCTCAACTCTGTGCATCCTAGAGCTGTGTACTGAAGAACAGCACAAACCTGTCCGGTTCAGCAGCACTCAGCATCTGATTGAGGCAGTAGAAGAGAGACAACAGTACTCTTTGTTACGGAGTCAGCTCAGAAGAAATCCCAGTGCAGGGACCATCTGTCTTGATCTCTGCAGCAAAGATACTGATACCAGCCAAGTCCGCTATAGTTTACATGTTGTACACAACCCAACCGTGAAAGTGTCCTGTGACAATCAATTTGCCATCTTCATCAGTAAGTTTGTGTGCTCAGGAGCTTGAGTTAAATCCAAACAACCCAAGAAAACATCTTATAGCCTTTTGCCCCCATATACTGTTAATAATGACTAAGGGAACTGGGTATTGTCAATTATACTAAAAAGCAGTTGGGTAGCAGTTGCTACTGGGTAGCAGTAGTGCAGTTAAGGCTATCTGCTCTAATACTATATCTGTTTTTAGTAAATTTTCAAGTACTGGGAAGCAAACTTGCTCTGATATGTCCATCCTTCAGCAGAGATATACATTTACTTTCTTCTAAATCAGTGATTCCCAAATAGTGGTCCACAAAACTAAAATATGGCCTCACTTACTACACAGTTTCAACGAGAGTGAAACCCTCTCATAGTGCCGAGGCTTATTAAATATGGTTTTCTGTGGGCAAGCATATGGCGACTAGTGGATGACATATGTTCTGTATCAGAAAGTAGAGCTGATGTGGTCTATCCAATGCAGTTTTCTGAATCACCACCACAAATAACCGAACCAAATCTAAAGTTGATCAAAAACTGATTCGTAACCCTTTTGGTACTCAAGTTGGGAAGTGGTCCCTGGTAAGGGGTCCTTGGACAAAAAAAAGGTTGGGAACCACTGTTCTAAATGAAACCAGTAGTATATTGCAGTGAAAGAAGAAAGGATTGCAAGTACTTAGAAAAAAATGCCATAACCACTAAAAGTCAGTATAGGTTTCTCTAAAACAAGTAATGCCTTTATTATTATTATTTTATTATTATTATTATTTTTATTAGAGTTATAGCCTTGGTAGACGAAGAGAATGCTGTGAATATAGCATATCTCAATTTCAGTAAGGTCTATGACATTTTCACAAAGAAGCGTAATAAAATATGGGCTAGACAGTGCTACCATTAGGTGGTTTGGGAATTGGTTGACTGGCTGAGCCCAAAAGGTGCTTTCCAATGGCTCCTCCTTGTCCTAGAGAGAAGTGATCAGTGGGGTGTTACAGGGTTCTGTCCTGGACCTGCTGCTATACCACATCTTTATTAATGACTTGATTGATGGAATAAAGGGCATGATTATCACATTTTCAGATGGCACCACATTGGTAGGGACAGTCAGTATTGCAGAGAATAGGATCAGAATCCAAAATGATCTTAACAGATTAGAGAGCTGGGCCAAAACAGAAAAAAAGATGAATTTATGTACGATACTACACTTTGGCAATAAACATGAAATGTGGATATAGAGGATGGGTGACACCAGATTTGCAAACAGTGCGTGTGAAAGGGATTTTGGAGTCTTAGTAGACCACAAGCTGAACAGGATCAACAATCACTAACACATTTGTCTGTCCCCAGTACCACAGGGCAGGGAAAATGAATGGCTGTTTGGGACAGAAGAAGGACGAAAGCAATTGGCTGCAAGTGCTGAGTATTGGCGTCTAGTAACTGTGGCCTTACACAGAGATCAGCAGTATGAAAACATGGGAACCATCCAGGCAGAACTATCAGAAAAGGTGATGGAGTTAGCCCCACCTGGACTTCCAGCCCACCAGCAGGTAAATTACTCTTGCTATTTTCTCCTTGCTCTGTAGAATTCTATAGCAGTGTCTGGACTTAAAGCCCACATTTCTGTACATGTCTATGTGGGAACTGTCAGATTTACAATTTGACAGCTGCTCTAGGAGTCTCTTTTGGTCAAAGGGCAGAATATTAATGCCTTAAATAAATGAAATAAAATTAATTTTTGCAAGGGCTTTGGAAAATGAAATGATGCAGCATCCAATCTTGCTTGATGTTCTCATGATGCAAGGAATGATTGCATGGGAACCACTTTTAGCAGTACTCTAGGCCAGTTCTGGATACCCTTAAATATCAAACAGCAGGAAAATTTCTTACTCCATGTCTTTTTTCCAGAATAGGGCTTTTGTAGCCCTAGCTACAAGTGGGTAAGGGAGGAACTACACTCACATAACCAGTTTGGGACTTGGCTATCAGCACCTGTTAAAAATTGTAGATACTACCCCCAAATTATTTGAATTCTATCTGGCGATTGATTATTGATTACCATGTGTGTTTCTAAAGTGTACACCAAATATACTTTAGTGAGGTCATGTGGATCTTTAGTTTAAAAATAGCATTGCCCTCTTCTTCTAGAAACACCTATTGCTCTATGTTAGAGATTCTGGTAGGCTTTGGGTTCAGTTTCTTCTAGCTCAAGCAGAAGAGCTGGGAGATAATAATCAAACCTAAGAACTGATTCTAGCCCATACGAGAAGAAAGTAGGATAGATAGAGCAATGATTTAACCTGCTGAAAGGTTACCCAATCAATTGATTGCTTAATGTGTCTGTTTTGATACTGTTTTCTGGTGCTGTCTCTAAAATGATATATTGCTTTCTTCAGGTACCCTTTCTGTCAGTGGATGGAGACATCGGGACGCGCACCATCCGACATCGTGCTACTAGCTCCTGTAGTGGGGAATATATTATTGAAGATGTGAAAGGAGATGGTGCCCACTACTTCCGCCACCTCATCTTCCTCAGCAACAGGAATGTGGTGCAGTCAGAAGCAAGGCTGTCATCCAGGACATCTCATAAAGGTAAAATGAGAGATGTGGCATGAGGGCAATAGGATTACAGTAGAAGAATGAATTTTCATCAAGCAATGGCAGACTTTGTATTACCATATATACTTGAATATAAGCTGAGGTTTTTTTTTTTCAGTCCTTTTTTGGGGCTACAAAAGCTTCCCTCGGCTTATAATGGAGTCAAGGCTCCAAGCTCTTTCCAGCCATTGCTTGCAATATGATATATTTCTCTCTCCTCTTCCCCACCCTTAAAAGTGTGCTTTCTTTTCCTCCCTCACTTTGTTTCTCCTCCCAGGAGGGAGTTGCCCATTTTGCAAACTCTTATTTTTTTGACAGAAAGAGAGAGAGAGAGAAAGGGAATGTTTTGAAAAGGAAAAGGAGGGGGAGAGAAGCCCTTGCAAGTCAAGAAAAAGAAAAAGATTGCATAGGTGGAAGGGGAAGAAAAAGAGGGAAAGACTCTTGCAAATCTGCAAGATCTGTATTATTATTATTATTATTTAAAAAGAGAGACGGAAATGTTTTGAAAAGCAAAATGAGGTGAAGAGAAGCCCTTACCATTTTTATTTAGACTATAGCTTTCAAATGTTACTTTTTTTAACTACATGTTACAGAATCCTGCAACCACCACTACCAACATTTCCATGTTCTGGTCTGAGGTTCAGGGGTGTGAGGCAAGATTATGTTCCTCCAGCTACTCTGCTTGACAGAGAGCTCAAAGAAATGATAACAAGAAAAACAAATCAAAGTTTGGCTGATAAGCCGAGATGATACTTTAAAATTTGGGGGAATGTGCATATCCTTTCTGTATCACATTCTCTCTGTGCATCAAGATGACATGAAGTCAGTCCTCCTTTCTCACACATGGACCATGATTATCAAACCTCTGAACAGAGCTAAAGAAATCTATTTTATATATTATTGTGCACAAATAATAGTGGAAAGACTGAAATTTCTCGCTTCAGGATTCTGAATCTGCACAAATTGTACTGACAAAATAAGATTGGGCTGAAGCTGAAAATCTCCAGTTAAAATACCAGTTACTCAAGCCTAACTCGACTGTCCATAAAATCCAAGTTAATCAAGCCTAACTCACTCCAGTATGCTAGGTCAAAAGGGGTCTATTGTGGTTCTCTATATTAAGAGCAAAGATAAAAAAAGGGGGTTGTAGTAAACTCTGTACACTATATTAGGGATGGAAAAACGCTTACTGAAAAGTATTGGTTCTTTGGTGCTTCACTAATGTCAGAACAAGCTAGTTGGGAGGGGAAAGGCTATTTAAAGTTCTACTTCTCACATGATGTCATACTTCTTCCTCCTCTCTTTTTCATGGTAATACATTTGCTTTAGGGATGTTTTATTTGCCATTGGACAGGGAATAAGAAGCACAAAAAGAAGAAAAGCACATCCTCCAGTAGCCAAGTTGAACCCACTGGTGTATCGGCCAATCCGTCTATTGACAAAACTTACCTGTGTTGTGCTCATCACAGAGCCATGATTGCTGGACTCTGTCTCCTGAAAAATCCTGAATGCCTCCCAGGTAGGTAGCACAATCAATCCCATTTCCATTGTAAGCCAGCACTGGAGGGAAAAGTGGTGCTTATGTTTTCTCAGACTCACTTTATTGTTAAAATGTAGGTCCTGATCAAGATGTCAAAGAAAATCCTCTTGCTCCTCCCAAATGTCAAGGTCTATTTCCCTCAAACCCGCATCTGTGTTCATATTTGGCCGTATTGAGTGCTTGTGCCAAGTTTGGTCCAGATCCATCATTGTTTGAGTCCACAGTGCTCTCTGGATGTAGGTGAACTACAACTCCAAAACTCAAGGTCAATACCCACCAAACCCTTCCAGTGTTTTCTGTTGATCTTTTGAGTTCTGTGTGCCAAGTTTGGTTCAATTCCATTGTTGATGGAGTTCAGAATGCTCTTTGATTGTTGGTGAACTATAAATCCCAGCAACTACAACTCCCAAATAACAAAATCATAAATTTTTTTGAGTGATGGTCACTCCTTGTGTTGTGAGACGTTTTGTTGCCAAATTTGGTGTGATTTCGTTCTTTTTATTTAAGGTACTCATTATGCACAGAGCATTTTTATATATACAGATGTGGGAGAAGGGGAGTGATAGCAGACTGAAGATTTGAATGATGCCTTTGTAAAATAAACTACTAAATACTAAAAAAAAATACAATCGTAATGGGAGAATTCAACCACTCTGATATTTATTGAAAGTGAAACTCTGCCAAGAATATAAAATCCAATGAATTCTTCACTTGCCTTGCACAGAAGGCGGGGGAAGCAACAGGAGATCAGCTATTTCTGGATTTCATACTAAGCAGTAATCATATGTGGCTGAGTATGATTGTCTTTCAAGGGAAGAGACTTGATGGTGGGTCTATGAGTGACCATAGAGACATATTCTGGATTCACATGCTCTCTCACAATGAGGACATAGATTTTCAGATGGAAGCCAGTCCTGATGAGGGTTGGCTCGACACTCTTTCCTCTTGGCACGACGTTTCTCATTTTCTCCCTCCATTCATGCCTCTTCGAAGTCCGCAGCACTGCTGGTCACAACTGACCTCCAGTTAGAGCGCTCAAGGGCCAAGGCTTCCCAGTTCTTGGTGCCTATGCCACAGTTTTTAAGATTAGCATTAAGCCCATCTTTAAATTTATTTTGTTGTCCACAAACATTTCATTTTCCATTCTTGAGTTGGGAGTAGAGTAACTGCCTTGGAAGATGGTAGCAGGGCATTAGGACAACATGGCCAGTCCAGCAGACTTGATGGTAGAGGATCAACTTTGATGGTGGAGGATCAATGCTGGTGGACTTTGCGTCTTTTAGAATGTTAACATTAGTCCGCCTGTCTTCCCAAGAGATTTGCAGGATTTTTTGAAGGCAAACGTCAAGAGTGACGTTTGTAGACGATCCATGTTTTGCAGATGTATAAGAAAGTTGGAAGGACAAGAGCTTTATCCCTCCAAATGTTCTGATCCTTGAACACTCTCTGCTTCATTTAAAAAATGCTGCACTCGAAGATGGTGTTGTATTTTGGCGTCGATGTCAACTTTTGTGGAGAGTTGCTACCTAAGTAGCAGAAATGGTCAACATTTTCTAGAGTTATATCATTAACTGTATTGCTGGCATTGTTTTGGTGCCTGCTGGTAGAGCCATTTTAGTTTTCTTGACATTCTGTGAGAGGTCAAGCTTTTCATATGCTTCTGCAAAGCTGCAAAGTGGCTTGAAGGTCTTCCTCTGAATGAACACAGACTACATTATCATCAGCATATTGGAGTTTTATAATCGTGGTTGTTGACTTGACTACATTTTCAAGGTCCTAAATCAGGGGTCCTCAAACTTTTTAAACCACAGTCCCTCAAACTGTTGGAGGACAGGATTATAATTTTAAAAAAAACATGAATGAATGCCTTTGCACACTGTACATATCTTATTTGTAGTGCAAAAACACCTAAAAACAATACAGTAATTAACAAATATAAACTTATTAGTATTTCAATGGGAAGTATAGGCCTGCTTTTGACTGATGAGATAGGATTGTTGTTGCTATTGTGTGCTTTCAAGTTATTTCAGACTTAGGTTGACCTTTAGTGAGGGCTGGGTAAATGACCTTAGAGGGTCGTATCTGGCCCTCGGGCCTTCGTTTGAGGACCCCTGTCCTAGATTGTAGAGCTGTGGGCATTTAAAAGTTTCTTTCAATTTCAAAGTAATGGACTGTACAGTAGTGGACTAAAAATAAATGCTACTGTGGTTATAATTCCAGAGACAGAGAGAAATGGTACAGTTGAGATTCATATCCTCACTACTGAACACAGTTGTAATTGAGCTGAAAGAGCCATAGTTTTGGTGTGTGCATATATAGAAGAGTTTGGATTGACATTTAAAAGGATGATATGTAAAGTTTGTGTGACAGATTTTCTGTTGGCTGTTGCCAGCACTGCGCATGTTGATTTATAGCTCTTCTATGTGTGTTCTCTGTAGAAACCCGGATCCGTGTGTTAGTGATTGGCTTGGGTGGTGGCAGCCTGCCTCTCTTCATCCATGACTACTTCTTGCAGTGCTGTATTGATGTGGTGGAAATTGACCCAGCCATGCTGGAAGTTGCTACACACTGGTTCGGCTTCTCTCAAGATGACCGACTCAAAGTTCACATTGCGGATGGCTTAGCCTATGTTGCCAGCCTTGCAACGAAAGGTAAGAACTTCTCAGATGCTTTCATAAGTGTTAAGCGAAACTGCTTTGTAGTTCTGCACTGCCATTGGGGAGACAGAGGCAAAGCATTTCAGGATTCTATTGAGAATTTCTGTTATTGCACACTTGTGTTGGGAGGAAGGAATTAACAAAATAGAGAGAATTTAAACATTAAAATGGTACAAGAGGGAAAGACTCAAACATTTTTTCTCCTTGTGTTCTGCATCAAAAGATATAGTTTTATAAAAGCAATTCAAAAAAATAATTAAGTATGCACATCTTATGTTGTTCTGGCCTATGAGTCCATGGAACCTAGCACATTTTTTCAAGTTACATAAAGACATGCAGTTTCTGCTATTTTTATAAGCTAGTTAATCCAAAAGTCCTATATATGAGGCTATATTAATTCTTTCTTTGTCCTGAATTGACTGCAGTTCTCCACATTTGTGTGGCAAATCCAAAATAAAACATTTACATTTGCTATTCATGAGTAACAAAAAATATTTTTCAACTGTCTTCAGTTCTGTCAGGGAACATCTTACTGCAGTATCTGACATGATGGGGGATGAATGATATTGGAGTGGGTGGATTTTTGCCTCAGAGTGCCCCAGCCCTATTTGGCAGAAAGTTTACTGTATTGGAAAGCAAAAGATAGATGGTGATTCTCTCTCTCTCTCTCTCTCTCTCTGTCTTGATATGACATTGTGGCTATAGCAAGGCCATGCTTATTTATTTATTTATTTACTTACTTACTTACCTTATTTCTATACCGCCCTTCTCAGCCTGAGGGCAACGCAGGGCGGTTTACAAAATGGCACAATTCAATGCCACAATAATATAAACAGTTAAAAGCATATAATATCCATAAAATTCCATGAACAACAAAATCAATAAAACATAAATCCTCCGCGTTTCATTTCCAGAATCATTATCCGATCGCAATTGTCCAGCCGTTCTGAGGTCAAGTAATTATCTGCTACACTGTAGTCTATATTAGATTAACAGATTGGACACTGGCTTTTCTGTACTGATTCACTACCTTTCTGTTACTCTCACATCAACACATTACTGTTGTTTTCATACTCTTCTCCCCAGCTTCATCTTCCTATGATGTTATAATGTTTGATGTGGACAGCAAAGACTCTACCTTAGGAATGAGCTGCCCACCACCAGCTTTTGTGGAGAAGTCCTTTCTTCAGAAAACAAGGTCCCTTTTGAAAATGGAAGGTAAGGGCTTATCAGATATATTTGGACCAAGACCTGTTTTTACTGTAGCTTTAGTTTTTTGCTGATGTGCTCTCTTTTGATTTGTCTTTGATATGAAGAGTTCTAGGTATGGAAGAATATGTGAAACTCCAAAATATCTTGGTTTTTAAAAAAGATTTTGTGGATTAAATAAAGCAAATCAACCCGTCAATTAATGTGTTCACTTATTCAGATTGTTTTCTAGATCTCATGGTTTTGGAAGCAAATGGAAGAAAGGCGGGGGTGGCCTCATTAAAGGTTCCTAAACCAGACTAGGATTAAATAATGAATTCCTGTCCCGGCATTGAATGTTTGCTGTATATATGCTGTGCTCTGCCCTGAGTCCCCTTTGGGGTGAGAAGGGCGGAATATAAATGTTTTTAATAATAATAATAATAATAATAATAACAACAACAACTTAGTGAAAGGAGATAGGTTGTTGGTCACAGATAATAAACTCACCTTTTTACCTTTCTTATCTGCAGGCATTTTTATTCTCAATTTGGTGTGCCGAGACTCCGTGCTTCGAGAGGCTGCCTTAGCTACCCTTAAAGAGACTTTCCCTTTCCTCTATGCCTGTAAGATCGAAGGGGAAGTCAATGAGATCCTGTTCTGCCAGCAACAGACAAAGCACAAACTGTCTCCAATGGAGGTCCAAGAGACAGCTCAGATTCTGGAGAAAGCATTGCGGCAACCTGGTTGGGCATGGGATAGCACTTACGTCTTGGCTGATGTGCTGGAAACAGTGAGACTGGTGTGAAGAAGCAATACTTTGATTTCATATAGTGTCTTTTGGAGAGACATAACAATGTGCTGTGGGCTAGGGATTATGCTGTCCATTAGTTCCACATTCACATCTCTTGTAAATATGGAGAACTTTCATTCAGATCATTGGAGGAAGAGGAACTACCTCTATACTGGAAAGCCACCTCTAGAGACTGAGATAATCAGGGAAGATTGTCAGTACCATGCAGCACTTGCCAGGAAAAGTTCCTAGTTCTGGGCATGCGCAGCTGCTGAACTGAAAATATGGTGCCTCACTCTTATTCTGTGCGGCCGTCGATGGTTGATTTAATATCTGACACCAGTGTTAAACAATGACTGTAAATAAAATGGTTACCAACAGCCCTAACATTTTGAATATTCAAGATGGCCTGTTGTAGAGATCTATAAAAAATGACCTGCAATGTAGGCCATTGTATCTATTTTAACAAACAAACAAATAATACCATGGTCTCTTTAAGATAAGGATGAGCAACTGCAGAAGGTCCAGGAGCCAATTTTCAGCCCATGGGATTTTCAATGAGCCATACAAACTGATCAAAACACTCACAAAACAATTATTTTTATTTTGAAAAAACTAGCTGTACCTGCCACGCGTTGCTGTGGCCAACCTTCTCTCCCTCTTTCTCTCCTCCTTATTTTCTCCTTCCTTCCCTTTTTTTCTTTCATTCTCTCCTTCCTTCCTTGTCTTCCTCTTCCCTTCCTTCCCCTATTTCTTTCCCTTCCTCCCCTTTCTTCCTTCTTTACCTATTCTTGGACTGCAACTCCCAGCACTCCTCCTGATCAATCTATCTACATATCTATCTCTATCTTATCTTATCTTTCTGGAGGATTGCTGGGAGTTGCAGTCCAGGAATAGGAAATTGGAAATATGTAGGGATTGGGATGCTCTCAAAGAAATCCAAGGAGAAGAAAACTTGCACCTTGGAAGCAGTGCATTTGGATCATCCTCCTCTTCTAAAGGACTGGGTCTAGGGGATACTGGGAGCTGTAGAGGATATGCTATTGTGTGTTTTGTTTGCCAGGGAGAGTTGTTTTTGCACACGTGCTTTAGTGTCTTTTTGCTTTTTTTTGGCTTTTTAAGTCCCGTTGTGTTTTTCAGTGTTTTCATGAGTGATGGTCACTTGCTGGCCTGATAGGTGTGTTGCGTCCAGATTTGGTGTCAGTTCATCCAGTGGGTTTTGAGTTATGTTAATCACAAAAATGACCATTACATTTTTATTTATATAGATGAGTATTTGTTTTTGTTTGAGCTCATACTATAGCTATACTTGATGGGTAACTGAATAGCACTGGAGGAAATTACGGTAATAATTCCAGTTATGGAATATGAATAACATTAGCAGACAGGAATTAAAACTCTCTTGGCTTTTTTTCGTCCCCCAAGGAATTAGTGTTGTGCAGCCCCACCCAAGACTGGGTCACTGAATAAAACTGGAGGAAATTAATAACTCCTGTTACGAAATATGAATAATGTCAACAGACAGGAATTAAAACTCACTCAGCCTTTTTCTTCCCCCAAGGAATTAGTGTTGTGCCACTCCACCCAAGACTGAGATCACTGTTTTAAGTCATTATGAATCAGTATCTCCACATGTTGCAATGGGACATCCTGTGTGCGTCTTTTCAGTGAGCAACTAGTAATGTGGGGTGGGAGCCAAAAGTTCAGATGCATGTTGAAAACTTTAACTTTCTTGTTCGTAAAATCTGGTGCAGCTTAGTTCAAAACAACAGCCAGGAGCCTGTAGAGTGCAACACCATCTACTATCTACTGATCAGCTTTGGGGATTATTTTGGTTCAGGGAAGAAGGGTCAGTCTTGTGCTGGGGACAGACGCGATCGGTTTCCCACTCTGAAAATCAGATGAAGCAAGCCCACACAAATCCACACAACCAAATCAGTGGCTGCAGAAATGGAGGTACTTGCGGCAGTGCCCACACTCTAGGCTGGAATCCCTAAGCAGTCAGGGAGAAAGGATCAACCTCCACTGCATCATATAAATATAGTGGTGGAGACTATCACTACATTAGATAGGTGTAGTCCCAGCTTTACATCAAGCCCTGGGATCCCAACGCGCCAGTGCTTAAACAAGTACTCCAGTCCCAGTCCATTTTCAGTCATGGTTCAAAGTGTTGGTACTTACCTTACTTTCTTAGGCGATCCCTTGTTGTCCGAGTAGGATTGTCTTCCAAGATCGGTGTACTGGAGGTGGGTCCGTAGGTGACTCTGGAGCCCTATTCCTGACCTGCATGTTCTCCCGCAGTGAGGGCATTGGTTTCCAGGTGGAAGGCGGTCCCGGTCAGGGTTAGCTTGACATGCCTTCCTCTTGGCACATTTCTCTCTTTCGCCCTCCATTCATGCCTCTTCAAATTCTACAACACTGCTGCCACTTTCGCAATTGCGTCTGGCAGGAAGGAGAGACAGGGCCTTTTCTGTGGTGGCCCCTCGGCTATGGCACTCTCTCCCTATTGAGATCAGATCTGCCCCCTCCCTCCTGTCCTTCAGGAGGCTGGTGAAATCCTGGCTATGGAAGGAAGCATTCCCAGAGTAATGGTTGAGACCGGCTACAGAACAAAATTATCAACCACACATACGATTTGGCTTATTTGTAATTTTAATCTATATGTATTTTAACTTGTTATTATATGATGTTTTTAGATTGTACTATTAGCATTGAATTCTTGCTGTAAGCCAGTCTGAGTCCCTCTACAGAGGTTAGAGAAGATCAGGATATAAAAGTTTTAAATAAAATCAAATAATGATGTGGATTGTCTGTTTTGACAATCTGACTGCGTAGAAGGGACCTGAGAAAGGAGATTCCACCTGAACATTAGGAAGAACTTTCTGACTGTGAGAGCTGTTCAGCAGTGGAACTCTCTGCCCCAGAGTGTGGTGGAGGCTCCCTCTTTGGAGGCGTTTAAACAGAGGCTGGATGACCATTTGTCGGGGGTATTTTGAATGCAATTTTCCTGCTTCTTGGCATGGGGTTGGACTAGATGGCCCATGAGGTCTCTTCCAACTCTATTTCTTTATTTATTTTATTTATTCACAGCTTTTATAATCCACCCTTCTCACCCCGCAGGGGACTCAGGGCTGATTACAGTGTACACATATATGGCAAACATTCAATGCCAATTTTGACATACAACATATACAGACATAGACAGAGGCTATTTAACTTTTTCTGGCCACCAGGGGAGCTGTCGCTTTCATCGTCCATCTGCGACACTGATGAAGTACTTCCGCATTCCCCGCATGCTTTTGCTGGAGTCTTTTTTTATGGCCTCATAAATTAGTTAATTTAGCCTCCCCACACTTTAAGGTGGTACCTTATTTTCCTACTTGACAGATGCAACTGTCTTTCGGGTTGCAAAGGTTGACAACAGGCTACACACAATTGGTTGGAAACCCACTCCAACCTGGGCTGACTTCGAACTCATGACCTTTTGGTCAGAGTGATCTTAATGCAGCTGACACTCAGCCAGCTGCGCCACAATCTCTATGATTCTATGTGTCTATACTGCCATATAATCCGGTTCAAAGCAGTTAAATCTGGATTTTATATGGCAGTGTAGAAGGGGCCTCTATGTTCTCACCTGCAGGATTTTCCCTCTCTCCTTCCTATTTGTAATATGAGGTCCTCAGAACTATCAAAAAATCAAATATTTATTTATTTATCGTGTCATCAGCAACCATACCATTCTATTACACTTCTAACAGAACAAAACCAACACACAAATTAAAACAAAAACAAAAAACACAGATTTTGCAACTTGGTAGTTGTTAAATGTCCTTTGACCAGTATCTGGCCACTTGGAGTGCCTCTGGTGTTGCCGCAAGAAGGTCCTCCATGGTGCATGTGGCAGGGCTCAGGTTGCATTGCAGCAGGTGGTCAGTGGTTTGTTCTTCTCCACACTTGCATGCCATGGATTCCACTTTGTAGCCCCATTTCTGAAGGTCGGCTCTGCATCTCGTGGTGCCAGAGCGCAGTCTGTTCAGCGCCTTCCAAGTCGCCCAGTCTTCTGTGTGCCCAGAGGGGAGTCTCTCATCTGGTATCAGCCATGGATTGAGGTGCTGGTTTGGGCCTGCCACTTTTGGACTCTCGCTTGCTGAGGTGTTCCAGCGAGTGTCTCTGTAGATCTAAGAAAACTATGTCTTGATTTAAGTCGTTGACGTGCTGGCTGATACCCAAACAAGGGATGAGCTGGAGATGTCTCTGCCTTGGTCCTTTCACTATTGGCTGCTACTTCCCGGCGGATGTCAGGTGGTGCAATACCGGCTAAGCAGTGTAATTTCTCCAGTGGTGTAGGACGCAGACACCCCGTGATAATGCGGCATGTCTCATTAAGAGCCACATCCACTGTTTTAGCGTGGTGAGATGTGTTCCACACTGGGCATGCGTATTCAGCAGCAGAGTAGCACAGCGCAAGGGCAGATGTCTTCACTGTGTCTGGTTGTGATCCCCAGGTTGTGCCAGTCAGCTTTCATATGATGTTGTTTCTAGCGCCCACTTTTTGCTTGATGTTCAGGCAGTGCTACTTGTAGGTCAGAGCACGGTCCAGAGTGACTCCCAGGTATTTGGGTGCGCTGCAGTGCTCCAGTGGGATTCCTTCCCAGGCGATCCTCAGAGCTCGGGATGCTCGTCTGTTCTTAAGGTGAAAGGCACATGTCTGTGTTTTAGATGGATTAAGGATCAGCTGGTTTCCCTGTAATAGGCAGCAAGAGCACCTAGAGCTTCGGAGAGCTTCTGTTCTACAGTCTCAAAGCTCCCTGCTTGAGTGGTAATGGCACGATCATCAGCATAGATGAAACTCTCTGTCCCTTGAAAGGCATGTGCCATTTCCTTTTTTTTTTTTTTTTTGCAGATCCGATAAAAAAGGCGATGACGTGTCAGGGAGAGTGACGTCACTGGCGAGGACGCGTCAGTGCCGTTGCCACGGCAGCAACGCCCGCCCTCCTCCTCGCGCAAGAAGCGCTGCGTGACGTGGCAGCCATCCAAGCCGCGCTTGCGTGGAAGAGGACGGCGTTGGGGATCCGCCCCCAGTCGCCATTGGCCAGCGTGCATGGGAGGGGCGGGGCGTCGAAGCAGCTCTCATCTGGGTTGGCGGGAGGAGGAGGAGGAAGGTCCCTGCGCGTGCTCCTGCTGAGAGGCTGAAGAGAAGTGATCGCTGCCTTCCCAAAGCCAGTCTCTTGATGGTGAGCGGATCCTTCCCAAAATATAGAGGGAGGGCAAAGGGGGGTTGTAAAATAGATGTAAAATAGTGACAGCACTTGCGCTAAGATGAGCTGTTTATAGAGTAGCTTTTAAACAGAGGCTGGATGGCCATCTGTCAGGGGTGATTTGAATGCAATATTCCTGCTTCTTGGCAGGGGGTTGGACTGGATGGCCCATGAGGTCTCTTCCAACTCTTTGATTCTATGATTCTTACTGCTTCGTTCTTGATATAGTGCCTGATGGCATCTAGTCCTATCTCAGTTGGGTCCAAATCCGAAAGTTGGGGGGGTCACAGGGCTCCCTGGAAGTGGGAGCCAATAGGAAATTGCCTACTAACATCCACGCTGACTACCCACATACATTCATTCACTTTTATTATATACGAGAAAAATAGATATTATATTATAATTATATATTTATATTACACTAGCTATCCCCTGCCATGCGTTGCTGTGGCCCAGTCTGGTGATCTGGAAAATAAAGTAATGAGAAAGTGTTGGCTTCTAATATATGTGATTTCTTGATGCTTGTGGGTAAACAGTATTTCTTGTTGTTTCTTTGTCAGTGTTGATGTGGAGAGTGTCTGGTTTGCCCACCCTGGAACATGCAAGATATCACTGTCCTTCTTTAAGGGTCCCTTAGAAATCTATGATATTATATCTCTGTGTGTGTGTCAATTATATATATAATAAATATATAATATATCTATATCTATCTATATATTTATGTAATTTTGATGATGTTGTTTATGTTTTGGTTTTATTTTGCTGTAATATGTTGTCTGGGCTTGGCCCCATGTAAGCTGCTCCGAGTCCCCCTTGGGGAGATGGTGGCGGGGTATAAATAAAATTTATTATCATCATCATCATCATCATATATATATCTATGTCTATGATTGGACGGCTCTTTGTCAGGAGGACTTTGATTATGTTTTCTTGCCCTGGTGAAGGGCGTTCGGATATTCTTAAGTATTTTCTAGTTGGTCGTGGGGGTTCTGTGTGGGAGGTTTGCCCCAATTCTGTCATTTGTGGAGTTCAGAATGCTTTTTGATTGTAGATGAACTATAAATCCCAGTAATTACAAGTCTCAAATGTCAAAGTCTATTTCCCCCAAACTCCATCTGTGTGTGTATTTGGGCATATGGAATATTCGTGCCAAGTTTGGTCCAGATCCATCATTGTTTGAGTCCACAGTGTTCTCTGGATGTCAGTGAACTACAACTCCCAAACTCAAGGTCAATGCCCACCAAACTCTTCAAGTGTTTTCTGTTGGTCATGGGAGTTCTGTGTGTCACATTTGGTTCAATTCCATCATTGGTGGAGTTCAGAATGCTCTTTGATTGTAGGTGAACTATAAATCCCAGCAACTACAACTCCCAAATGACAACATCAATTTTTTGAGTGATGGTCACTCCTTGGGTTAGTAGGTGTCTTGTGGCCAAATCTGGTGTCAATTGGTCCAGTGGTTTTTGAGTTATGTTAATCCCACAAACGAACATTACATTTTTATTTATATAGATGATAAAAAATAGAGATATTAGAAGCACTGTGAAGGATGGATGGGGAAGCATAGGCTTCCATTGTCAGTTTGCCCTAACTCAGTGGTTCTTAACCTATGGGTCCCCAGGTGTTTTGGCCTGCAACTCCCAGAAATCCCAGTCAGTTTACCAGCTGTTAGCATTTCTGGGAGTTGAGGGCCAAAACATCTGGGGACCCACAGTTTGAGAAGCCCTAACTTATCTGCAGAAAAGAATGCAACTCTGCTTGAACTAGGAAAGATTGGGGGAAGTTTGTTCAGTAGCGTCAAACTTGTGGACCTCTAGGTGTTCTGGACTTCAGCTCCCAGAATTCCTGGCCTTTGGACAAGCTGTCTAGGGCTTCTGGGAGTTGGAGGCCCAAACATCTGGAGAGGCACAAGTTTGACCCCTCTGCTTGATCCTGCTGTAGCCATGTGTGCCTGCCTACAAGAGGCAAAGTAGACAGCAGCTCCTTCAGGATCCCTTACTGAGTACAAACAGCCCCCAAGTTATGAACAAGATAGCTTCTTAAGTTGAGAATGTGTGTAAGTCAAAACATATACATTTTAAAGTGTAATTCCAGCAAAATAGATGGATTGATCAATAGATAGCATAGGAAAGAGTTAATACCCCTGTGGGGTTTGTTTTGCTGTCTGTGCCCCTGTTCAGAAGTTTTCCCCTCAGTTTCTGTTCCAGTGATAGTGGATTTTGAAAAATTTGCCTTGTTGTGGAAACACCTTTTCCCCATGATAATAAATCTTTCAGAAGTTAATTTCTCTTCTGAGGGGTAGATTTCTCTCACTCCCTGTTGTCTCACCTCTGTTCTTAACCAGGAGTCATTTGTAAGTCGGATGTTTGTAACTTGGGGACTGTCTATACAGCAAAACAGAGAAAACAGGAGAGCCTGGCTCACAGCCCCCACTCACCTCCACATTAAAAAACATGATCTCAAAATTAGAAACTATACGGGAAGCAGAATCTGATGAAAAAGGAAACATAATATTACCTATATTTACATGATGGTTTTATTTCATACTAGCCATCCCCTGCCACGCGTTGCTGTGGCCCAGTCTGTGTATATGTGCTTAGTGTGTGTCTATATGTGTATATGTGTGTGTATATGTGTATATATGTGTGTTTGCGTATATATGTGGTTTTGCACATGCGTTGTAATGTAATTTGTATTTTTTTGGCTTTTTAAGTCCCTTCTGCTGTGTTTTTCAGCGTTTTTATGAGTGATGGTCACTCATTGGCCTGATACATGTATTGTGTCCAAATTTGGTGTCAGTTTGTCCAGTGGTTTTTGAGTTATTTTAATTCCACAAATGAACATTACATTTTTATTTATATAGATTGTTCGTTCTGGATGAAAAGCTTACCAAAACAAGTTGAAAATATATATCTATAGTGCGTTGTTGTAGGTTTTTTCAGGCTATATGGCCACGTTCTAGTGGCATTGTCTCCTGATGTTTCTCCTGCATCTATGGCAAGCATCCTCAGAGGTTGTATATAGCTAGCTAGATAGATAGGAACCTATTCTCTTCAATCCATGTTATTTCTATCTTTGGGTTTTTTGTTTGTTTATTTGTTTGTTTTTCATGTCAGAAGCAACTTGAGAAACTGCAAGTCACTTCTGGTGTGAGAGAATTGGCCGTCTGCAAGGACTTTCCCAGGGAACGCTGGGATGTTTTTTGGTGTTTTACCATCCTTGTGGGAGGCTTCTCTCATGTCCTTGCATAAGGAGCTAGAGCTGACAGAGGGAGCTCAACCCGCTCTCCCTGGATTCAAACTTCTGACCTGTCAGTCAGCAGTCCTGCCGGGGTCTCCTCTGTCCTTGGTATCAAAGCTCTTGCTATAAAAGTGATGCCTGGCATACATATTTAGCTATTTGGGTCTTTCGACTGTAATAATGCTTCTTGTTGTTGTTGGTTGACTGAGCTCTAATTGTAGCTCTCTGTGTCTGTTGCCATTTTTAGATATAAGGGGATGAAGAGCTCCCTACAAGAGTATTGTGAGCCAGTTGTTTTTGTGTTGTGGTCCACAGACCCCTGCTGGTCTTCAATTATCTAGCAGAGAAGCTGTGAAGGCTTAGAAGTTGCTCAGCCTAGATCCCCCTTGGTGCAGGGCGGCTGCGTGACAGGAGCCAAGACAAAGGCTGGCTGGCCTTGCACGTTGTCTATCACGATGCCATTCCTGAGCAGCTGAGCACCCCTGCGGGTGCTGGTGAGGGGTGGGTACTGCCGCCAGTCGGCATGCATGCAACTCTCGCCAAGCATTGTGGATCTTTTTCAAATTGACTTTACAGCTGTGAAAAGGATATCAACATCACCACCCCTACTGAGAAATAAATAGACACGTTTTGCCGGAAAGGTGGCCGTGGGATTCTTTTCATTCCATCAGCCCATCCCTATCCTAGCAGTGTCTTCCAGCAGCATCTAAGGTAATACACACAATAGATGAGAAATGGGACAGGGAGTGGTCTACCATACAGGGTAAGCTAGGAAGCTGTTAACAAGAAACCCAATCACCTCTCATTTTTTCCTTTTCACTTTTCCAGGGCTGTAATCCTTGATAATATTGGTGTTATTCTTCCCTTCCATTCCTGCCTTTGCTTTGGGGCTGGGGAGAGGCAACCACGACTAGGTCCCTCCATCCTCAGGTAGCTCCCACTCTGTAGGGCTGTTGTTCTCAACCTGTGAGCCCCCAGATGTTTTGGCCTTCAACTCCCGAAAATCCTAGCAGCTGATAAACTGTCTGGGATTTCTGGGAGTTTATCTATTTATTATTTATTGTATTTGTATACCGTCTTTCTCAGCCCATAGGTGACTCAAGGTGGTTAACAGGGTAAAATGCAATGCTTACAATATCGTAAATACAATTAAAAACATAACATATAATAAAAATTAAACATATCAATAAAATATAAATTCATAGTGTCACCTTGTTAAAAACGTTGTCCGGTCTCATTGTTGCCGTTCCATTTTCCTATGTTAGTTACTCTGCATTTTGAAACGTTTGTTCAAAAAGCCACGTCATGACTTTTTTCCAGAATGTTAAAAGGGAGGTGGCCAATCTAATATCTATAGGGAGGGCATTCCCGAAAATCCTGCTGAGGGGCCACCACCGAGAAGGCTCTGTCTCTCGTCTTCACCAAACATACTTGTGAGGAAGGCGGTAATGAGAACAGGGCCTCACCAGATGATGTTAAGGTCCTAGGTGCTTCATATGGGGGAGATGTGTTCGGACATGTAAGTTGGGCCAGAACCGTTTAGGGCTTTATAGGCTAAAGCCAGCACTTTGAATTGGGCCCGGTAATAAATTGGCAGCCAATGGAGCTGGCGCAACAGAGGAGTTGTGCGCTCCCTGAGCGCCACTCCTGTTAGCAATCCGGCTGCCGTTAGTTGGACCATTTGAAGCTTCCGGACAGTCTTCAAAGGCAACCCCACGTAGAGCGCATACCAGTAGTCTATACGGGATGAAACCAGAGTTGTAGGCCAAAACATCTGGCGACCCAGAGGTTGAGAACCATTGCTGTAGGGTGTGTATTATGTGTGTGTGTGACACAGTGAGTTACTGCATGGGATGTAACACCAACCCTAATTACACCACTGACTCTTATGTAAAGAGAATTGGTGTTGGGTGATTTACCAACGGAGCAACAATTAAAGACATAAAGCATAGATTTTTTAAACTGCTTATGTGCTGACCTAGCCTACCTTTGCCTTGACTCCTTTCACAGTCTTCCCTATTGTTGTTAATGTTATTTTAGATTTGTATGGAGTAACTCCCATAAAAATGTTATCTATATAAATAAAAATATAACATTCCTTTGTGGGATTAACGTAACTCAAAAACCACTGGATGAATTGACACCAAATTTGGACGCGACACCTATCAGTCCACCAAGTGACCATCACTCATAAAACATTGAAAAATACAGCAGAAGAGACTTAAAAAGCCAAAAAACAAAAAAATACACTATACACATGCACAAAACCACATATATATACGCAAACACACATATACACAAATATATACACACCCACATATACACATACAAAGCACATATTCACAGACTGGGCCACAGCAACGCATGGCAGGGGACAGCTAGTAATAGAATAAAAGTGTGTGCATGTCTCCCTTCTTTCTAAATCTGAAAAGCCTTGATGAGTTTAAGTTGTACTCTTGAATTGAAAGGAGGTTCCTGATAAAGCAAAGATTAAAAACCACTCCTTTAAGCAATGCTTATTTTAGTTATTACTTTGGTGCTCAGATTGAGCAGATGTTTATAGAAATTTCGTATGGGTAGTTGACTAAACTGCAGCTCTGTATACCCTGTGAATGAATAGCTCTAGGAATTATTACAGAATCAACATAAATAGGATGATCTGTCTCACAAGATCTCAGGTGCTTTCCAGTGTTTGTCTACGTGTCTTGCAAGTAAGGCTATTTTTCAGTGTCACCTTAGAGTACATAAACAATATTTTCATTGTTTAACATAGGCGTTTTCCACACAGCTGTATAAAATCCACATTGAACTGGATTATATGTTAGCGTGAACTCAGATAGCTCAATTCAAAGCCGATATTTTGGATTATCTGCCTTGATATTCTGGGTTATATGGCTGTGTGGAAGAGTCCATAGTCAGAAACCATGTTAAAGCCCCATTCCGCTCCTTATTATGTATTTTCCATTGGAAATGTGAGTGCTTTTTTGCTGGTTTACATATCAAATATTTCAGTCGTGCAACACTGTACCTCCCAGGGTCCTTCCACACAGCCATATAACCCAGAATATCAAGGCAGATAATCCACAATATTAGCTTTGAATTAACCAGTCCCCACTGCCATATAATTCAGTTCAATGTGGATTTTATACAGCTGTGTGGAAGGGAACTAAGTTTAGGGCCCTCAAGAACTCCATTGACTGTATGAAGCTGTAGTTCAGCAACATCTGAATGGCCATACGTTGCTACTCTTGTTTTAAGAGCAGAAGTATATACAGTCAAATGAATAAACAAATATAATAAAATACATTGCAATTTGCTTTAAATGTGTGTGTGCTTTACATCAGTTTTGCTTTATCCAAAATAAACATGTTAGTGAGTGGACAGGGTCAGTATTGGTATAAATGCCTTGTAAGCCTAGGCAAAGTTTCTTATAAATCATAATTCTCTTAATTTCTACAGAAATGAATGGAGACAACAGCATACAAGTGCTCCAGCGCCGGCTGGCTGCAGCAGGGCAAAGACACTTACTTCAGTTTTGGGATGAGCTGAGTGCAGCAGAACAGCAAGATCTATATGTGGAGCTGAATGCTATGGACTTTGAGGAGTTGCGCCACGCTTTCCAAAAGGCCATGATGTGCGGCAGCCATTTACCAAAGGAGGAGAACATGGACGACAAGATGGAACCTGTGCCTCAGGAGGTGCTAGGAAGCACAACTCGAGACCAAGTTCATCTTCCAGCATGGGAAGAGGAAGGTACTCAATATGACTGTACTTGACTCATAAGATACTTTTAGGGAAACAGTCCTGATCCTCAAAGTAATATAATTTCTACGAACAGAGAACCCAGTTCTCAGTTCTAGAACATGGCCATATAGCCTGAAAAACCTACAACCCAGTGATTCCAGCCATGAAAGCATTCGACAATACAGAGAACCCAGTAAATGGCTTACTTCTTTATTTATATTGGCTTCATAGACTCTTAAGAATGAAAAAATCTGATTTGGGAGGTATAGGCTGATGCAATAGGAAACCCATCCATGATTACTTCAAGTCCACTTCTTCATGGCCACTTTTCTAATCCACTTTTTGCGTGTATTGTACCAAGAATAGATTATGAGTAATCAAGTGTTTCATTAAGCACGGAGAAATTTAACAGTTGTGCAGATATGTAGGCATGCTTTAAAAACTATTTTTTCCATTACTGAAGAAAGTGTAACACTTGTGGGCTCTTTCATTTTGACCACTTTTCTATAAATTAAAACATGTAAATAAGCACATTAAAAAACATGTTCTACATCATTTATTTTTCTGATTGCTGGACAACAGTTTGATGTTATATGTCACAGCCTTGGCATACATCACAAACTCTTGCGTGGCTCTTTTGTCAACTTGGATAACATGCAAACTGAGGACCAGCCAAACCCAAAAATCTGAACAGATTTTGGGAGATTTGTCATATTGATCACCTAGACTCCCAAATTTCTAAAACTCAGTCCTATCTAATAGTCACCATTAGTATTCCCCTTTGGTATTTTCAATCTTTTATCTATCCGGAAATTAAATAACAAGTTATAGCTTTATACCACCATTAATATTTATTCTTCACTGATAGTATAGATCAGGGGTCCTCAAACTATGGCCTGGGGGCCGGATACGGCCCTCCAAGGTCATTTATCCGGCCCTCACTCAGGGTCAACCTAAGTCTGAAATGACTTGAAAGCACACAACAACAGCAACAATCCTATCTCATTAGCCAAAAGCACGCCCACACTTCCCATTGAAATACTAATAAGTTTATATTTGTTAAAATTTTCTTCATTTTAATTATTGTATTGTTTTTAAGGTTTTTTTGCACTACAAATAAGATATGTACAGTGTGCATAGAAATTCATTCGTGTGTTTTTTTCAAATTATAATCCGATGCAACTGTCTTTCAGGCTACAAAGGTCAACAGCAAGCTACACATATCCCTAGCAACTTTTTTATTTCTGTAAGATTTGTTCAGATGGATTTGGTTGCTTTTGGAAACAAAATCCATAATTATACAATAGATAAAAGCTGAAAAAAGGGTCCAAGCAAGCACTGCGTAGTCAGCCTTTACTCTTTGTTGTCTAATTACCCAAGAAATCTAAACATATAGATAATGTAAGTTGTATAAGATTTTAATTCTGAAGAAGCATGTGGAAGTCCATGTCAACAGAAGAAATCAATATTGCAGAACAAAATCTCCTGTCTTACTGTAAGACTTTCAAGATGTTTTCCCAGATAGTATTTTATGTTCACGAAATGGAATCTTCTGTAGACTCTAGGGGCAAACTGTTTCCTGGATTACTTCCTCCTTGGAAACATGCCTGAAACTATTTAACTATTTGGTTACATATTTACTTATAGGTCAATAGGCCGAAGAACAATTTACACTGCATAAAAAGATAAAGATAAACCTTACAAAAATGGCTTATTCCCCAGTACCAGCCACCACAGACAACGATTTCAAAGAACTGCATTCAGCAAGCAACTCCCATAATAGCCCATAGACAATGCTGTGCCTATCAGCAATTGCACTATATAACAACATTTGAAAAAAAAAATGTTCCTGGTTTGAAAATGTTATTCCGGTTTAATTGTGTGGCACTTACTTTGAAACTCCAGAAACTTCATTTTTGTGGCTGCCACAAACTATGCCAAATTAGTTGATATTCATTGAAAAACTATAGCAAAATGATCTGCAAGAACAAAGTTTTTCCATTTTTAAATGTCAGAACCAATGAGAAAATGACATTTATAACCCAGGAACAATTTGGCTACAAATAACAGGCAAATTTGGCATCCGTCTGTAATTCAGTACCACATACTTTATCTATGGCTGTTAAATAGGCATACTGCAGCATAAATTAATACATAGATACCATTTGGTAATATGAATTTCCATATTAGTTGGTAAGGATATAGTAGTCTGCCAATTCATGGTAATTAATAAGCTTTCTCAGAAATCCAACTAGAATTTAGATGTATAATTCCATTTATGTAAAGCAATGTTAATGTGGAAATGAAAACAATCATGAGGGAGTGATCTCAAAAGGGAATTTAATAAGGATAAAGATATAATTTCATATTTCAAAAGCAGAGGTTATTTTTAGTATTTTCTCAGGCACTTGAAAAACAATTGTGTGTAACTCAATAGTTTGCCACTTTAATGACTGGGTTCATTCAAACTATTTTTGGAGTCACTGTCAGAATTCACTTTCATCTTTTTCATTTGGTTTAGGTCTCCGGCAGATTTCTCAGAGCAAAGTTGCTGTTCTTCTCTTAGCTGGCGGACAAGGAACAAGGCTAGGTGTTTCATATCCCAAAGGAATGTATGATGTAGGCCTGCCATCCCATAAAACCCTCTTTCAGATTCAAGCAGAGCGGATCTTGAAACTACAACAGTTGGCTGAAAAGCGGCATTGTCTCAAATGTGTCATTCCATGGTAAGAATCTTGGATATGCTTTTAATCAGTGCCATTTAGTAGTGTGTATATAAGAATATCTGATCACAGTTTTGTTGGTTCAGAGTTTCACTAGCCTTTATAGTTAGGAATTTAACTGCGGAGATTCACAGGAAATCAGAAAATGAAATTGGTGCAGAATTCAGCCATTTAACCATCTGTGTTTTCCTTTTGTTGTTCAAAAACGTTAAAAAGAAAAAGTCATATTTGTACACATATGCTTAAAAGTATACAGATGTGTGTGTGTGTATAGATAACACCCAAGATGACATCCCAAGGAAACCATGCAAGATAATAAAATAATATGGAAGAAATAATATCTGTCTTGTACAGGTGTGTGTATGTGTGTGTATATATGTGTGTATTAGGCCTGGGCAATGCATGGTTCTAAATGGTTCTAAAGTACTTACAAAACTAAAGTTCTGGTAGTGAAAATTTCAGAACTCTAACAAAACTTTCAAAATTTAATTATGAACAGGAACAAGATTATTTGAAGGAAGTATGGGAAACAGACTTGGGGGAAAAAGTGAATAATCAGGAATGGGTAAAGATATGGAGTATGAGATTACTAAAAAATATGTCTATAAGAATCAAGGAAAATTATTATAAAACGATATGGAGGTGGTATCTAACTCCCATTAGATTAAATCAGATTGATAAAAAATACTCAAATCAGTGTTGGAGAGGTTGTCAGGAAATAGGGACGTACCTTCATATGTGGTGGTCATGTAAAATTATACAAAATTTTTGGGAAAGCATATTCAAAGAAATAAGAGCAATAATAAAAATAGAGATTAAGACTACACCAAAATTAGCTTTATTACTTATACATGACAATACAATTCCATCACAAGAGGAGAAAGAATTGGTTTCGAATTTGATAATAGCAGCTAAATTGCTAATAGCAAAATACTGGAAAGAAAAAAAAGGAATTCAATTAGAAGAATGGTATAGGGAAATTTGGAATATTAATGATAAGCTAACCTGCAATATTAAAATTAAAAGGGGAATATGGAAACAAACAGATTTCTGGAAAATATGGGGAAAATTGAGTATATTTTTAATGAGGGAAAGGGGCACAAGCCAGCAACAGAAACAATGACATTTTGGAATTGTGAAATAGCATGAGTAGGTTGGTCCTGGTGAAGGGGGCACAAACTAAGGGTAAAGGGAAGGGTAAAGGGAAGAGCGGGGAACTGGTATAATACTAATTATAAAGAAATAAAACATGTATAAGTAGATAAAAGGTGTGTGGTAGAGATATACATAGTATAAGTTGTAACGGAATGATAAGAAGTATGCTTAAAGATGTATTTGATTATTTTTACTGTTAGATTGTATATAATATGACAAATTCTTCTATCTAAGATGTTGTAAAAAGAGGGAAGAATGTATGCTTATACATGTTGTTTGATAAATGTATAATAAAAAATTTAAGAAAAAAAACCAAAATTTAATTATTATTTCATTATTGGCGATTTTTATGACAGAACCAATTAGGAACTGCCATTTAAAATGAAATTTTGAGAGTTTTGTTAGAGTTCTGAAATTTTCACCACCAGAACTTTAGTTTTGTAAGTACTTTAGAACCATTTAGAACCATGCATTGCCCAGGCCTAGTGTGTATATATGTGTGTGTGTGTGTGTGTATGCATACACACACACACATATACAAAGGTGGGTCAATATGTTTTGCCTCCTGTGTCATAAAAATGTTATGAATGAATATATAACAGCAGAAGTTGCTAGAGATCATAGGCTGAACTATCCTCTACGCAAAACTACCGTTTAACATAGTCACCATCATTTTCAGAATCCATAAAACTGAAGTAAAGCATGTATTAATGGTTTTGTGTCTCTTTCAGGGCAGGCTCTTTTATTGTGGTAAGGGTAACATGTCTTATAACATTTTGCATGCTGTGAACTGTATTGCTCTCATGCTGAACAGGTACATCATGACAAGTGGCAGAACCATGGAACTGACCAAGGAGTTCTTCCAGAAGCACAAATATTTTGGTTTAAAGAAGGAGAATGTAGTATTTTTCCAGCAGGGAATGCTTCCTGCTATGGATTTCGATGGGAAAATTCTTTTGGAGGAAAAAGGCAAAGTTTCAATGGCACCAGGTACTACAGTCTATAATAGCCATTTTCAAAGACATCATGGCAATTGTCCCTTCTCTACTTAGGCAACTTTCTCTTACTTAGCCAGCTATCAAGCTTGCTTTTAAATCTTCTAGTTGAATTTAAACAGAAACAAGAGTGAGATAAAAAAAAATCTTGCCTTTAATTAATGGGGTACCCAATGTTCACTCATCATTTAAGTTTTTATTATTATTATTATTATTATTATTATTAATAATAATAATAATAATAATAATAATTTCAACTCATTTTGAAGTTAATTTATAATATTAGTGGAAGGACATTTTGTCCTGAACTTTCTTCAGCTTTATAGCTGAGACCGATTTTGCAGTTGGGTTAAGATGGCCACCTGAGCCTCTTTTTATCTGTCTAGACTCATATAATCCAGTTCAAAGCAGATAATCTGGGATCAGACCCTGGATTATATGGTTAGTGTCAATCCAGCCCATGTCATTCAGAGTGAATTGAAGTGAGGATAATGGATCTTTGGAGTAAATAGTGATTGCAAAAAGATACAGGGTAAAATGCAAGTTAAACTTAATTTCCTTCTTTTTTAAAAAAAACTTGGTGCATTGAATAGGAAATAATACTCTGGAAAAGGCAACTTAGCAATTGATTTCATTGCCAAACTGATCTTACTGTCAAGATGTTCCTTCAGTTTTTAAATCAGAATCTACTTTTCTGTAATTTCAGACAATTAGACCTAGTTCCAAAAAATGTTAAACAGAAATAGATGTAACTAAATAAAAAATCAAGTATTTTTCAATCAGGTATACATTGAAATATTTCCTCTTCTCAACCCTTCTTAAAGATGGCAATGGTGGGCTGTATCGAGCCTTGGGAGCTCATCATATTGTGGAGGATATGGAACAGCGAGGCATTGGCAGCATTCACGTGTACTGCGTAGACAATATTTTGGTGAAAGTGGCTGATCCTTCGTTTATTGGATTCTGCATACAGAAAGGAGCAGATTGTGGAGCAAAGGTAATTCATCTTTGTACAGACTGCAGAGAATACGTTGTTTTCTCATCTCTTGTAGACATTATGTTTGGTCAACTGTGTGACCTTGTAGATTAGCTATATAAAAATGGGAGTGCCCCCAGAGTGCAGGAAATATTAAATAAACAGTGAATGTATACAGAAACTCAGTAGTGAGCTGTGAAGTCCCTACTTCAGCTTTCATTCCAGTCACGAACTTGCTAGGAAACCTTAGGCACGCTTTCTCTATGGCTCTAGCCACTTCCTGTAGTGAATAGATAGAAGTGATAATACTCCCCTTCCCATCTATTGTGATAATATATGTGAAACATCTGGAAAACTGAGAAGTGCTATAAGTATCTCTCTGCTTTGAAAAATATCTGGGAATTTAACCCGTTGCAACTGGTGGTGCAACGGGTTAAAACGCTGAGCTGCTGAACTTGCTGACCGAAAGGTTGGCAGTTTGAATCCAGGGAGCAGGGTGAGCTCCTGCTGTTAGGCCCAGCTTCTGCCAACGTAGCAGTTCAAAAACATGGAAATGTGAGTAGATCAATAGGTACTGCTTCTGTGGGAAGGTAACGGCGTTCCATTCAGTCATGCTGGCCACATGACCTTGGAGGTGTCTATAGACAACGCCAGCTCTTCGGTTTAGAAATAGAGATGAGCATCAGCCCCCAGATTTGGGCACGACTAGACTTAATGTTATGAGAAACCTTTACCTTTTTATAGTAGGAATATGCAGGTGGTTTTATTTTCGTGTATCCGGAACTATTTCTTTTCATTATCAAAGAAAATTCATGGACCTTTTTCATTCTGCTGCAGTTCTCTGTTGTATGATGAAAGGGGTTAGTCAGAGTTGAACAGGATCCATATTTATGAAGGTGGAGGCATAAAATAATCCAAGAACATTAAGCAACTATATGACAAATTTCCGTGGTTTCTTGGTTGAAGTATCCCCATGTGTCAAAACAGAAACACCTAAAGGGAATGTTAGTGTAAAGCAAGGGTCCTCAAACTAAGGCCCAGGGGCTGGATACGGCCCTCCAAGGTCATTTACCCTCTCAGTCCCACCCCTGTCTCAAGCATGGCAGGTGGGAACGAGAAAGGGGGCCTTCTCTGTGATTGCTCTCCGCCATTGGAACTCCCTCCCAAAAGAACTAAAAACTGCCTTTAAAAAGTTGCTAAAACACATCATATGGAGAAGAAAACTAATATGCCCTGACATATATCATCGCTTAGATACCTTACATCCATCCTGTCTATACTGGAATTGACATCAATCTATCAGTTGGTGGAAACCATCCTACCTCTTAATATGGATCCATTTGTTTTAAGTGTTTTATTTTGTGTAAATTTATATGATGTGATTATGTCTGCTAGAGTTTTTAGTTCGATTTTTTGGTGTATTTTTATTTCGTTTTAAGTTTACAGTTGGGCTGTTTTATGCATTTTGTTTGATGTATTTTGTTTTGATGCAATATATTGATATGTTTCTTTGTTGGCACTGAATGCTACACCATACTGTCCTGAGTCCCCTCAAGAAGATAAGGCGGTCTATAAACAATAATAATAATAATAATAATAATAATAATTATTATTATTATTATTATTATTATTATTATTATTATGTTGGTATTGTAGTCAATTGTCACTGAATCAAAGCTAAACAAAACTTGAGATGATGGTACTAGTTTTAGATTTTGGACACTTTTAAGTGAAGTTGCCCCTATTCAATCCAGCTTGCAACCAATATCTCTGTATTCTTAGGAACTACTTTATCTGCTCTCTGATGTGTGTATAAGTATATACGTAGACAACTCCCTAAAAACCAACATTTGCTGCTATTAATTATATCTCTGTCTAACTCACACTGTAATATATACATTAAAATAGCACCCTCATATGGTTTCCACTTCGCTTTGAGAGGTCTATTGCTTTCCATGAATTTGGCAATATGTTTATACTGTGTAGTTGCCTTTTGCAAATGGGAACTCAACTTGTTGCAGATGGCATTTCTTGCATTATGTTGCCACTCAACTCCATCATTTGCACCTTTGCTTCTTTATCCACACATACATCCTGCTTGTAAATAAATGTCATAAATAAATAAATGAATTTATTTATGCGCTGAGTCCCCCTTGTGGGAAGAAGGGCGGGATATAAATATATGAAATAATAAATAAATAAACAAACAAACAAATAAATAAATAAATTTTATCCCAGGTAGCCCTGGATACATCTGATAAATATATAGCACAGAATTGTCCATCATTCTATACTTCAGATGAAGAAATGGGTTTATATCAATAAAAGTTCAAACCAATTTTTTTAAAAAACCCAGTTAGTTTTAAAGGTGCTGTCATGTTTCTTTTTTCTTTTTTGCTCCCCCTTCCTTTCTCTTTGGTAACGTCCATAACAATGCATGCTATAGACCAGGCCTGCAGAACGTATGGCTTGCGGGCCAGATGCATTCCGTGAAGACCTTCCATGTAGCCCATGGGCAAAGTCACATTTCTCCCCAATCTCGCTCCATTCGGCAGGACGTCCCCTCAACATCCAGCCTTTCGCATACCTGCCAAGCATACGAAGGGCCAAGCGCCGAGGGAGAAGCTGAAGTGTCACCCCAGCTTCGTGCCCTTCCTATGGGAACAGTACAAGACTGAGGAAAAGGCTGGGGTCTGCCTTCAGGGCTCCTCCAAGTTGTGCAGAGCTGATATAGACTCCAAATTGGTTGATTTTGAAAATGCTACAAAACTGTTTGTTGTTATCCTTTTAGGTAGTTGAAAAGACAAACCCCACGGAGCCAGTTGGTGTGGTATGCCAAGTTGGGGGGCTTTACAAAGTGGTGGAGTACAGTGAGATATCTTTGGCCACAGCACAGAAAAGGAGTCATGATGGCCGGCTGCTTTTTAATGCTGGGAACATTGCCAACCACTACTTCACGATGGACTTTCTGAAGAACATTGTCAGGTATGAGCATTCTTTCATTGTGGATGGTTTAGAAAATGTAGTCCTTAAGACATTTCTGGTCACTCTATAGCAGGCATAGGCAAACTTCGGCCCTCCAGGTGTTTTGGACTTCAACTCCCACAATCCCTAACAGCCAGTAGGGTTTTAGGAATTGTGTGAGTTCAAGTCCAAAACACCAAGTTTGCCAATGCCTGCTCTATAGGGTGCTGTAAAGAAGGATCCTGTCTGAGAGCAGCCAGTCACAACTTCGGGAATGTTCTGAAGGGAGGCCTGTGGGGACAAAACATTTTTAAATATATATATAGTCTTTTCTCTATGAGAGGCCAGATAGTGTTTTGGTTTCAGAAAGATAGGAAAAAAACTGACATAAGTATACGGAATAAATGGAATAGAGGCAGGCAAAGATTGACTATGATTTTAGGTGGTTGAGATTGAGTAGTTCAAGGGTTAATGTATTATTAAGTTGTGTCTTAGTAAAATTCCACTTGTTTGCTTTCTTTAAAATTGTCTCTGGCTGCCTCTATCATAGAATCACAGAATCACAAAATTCAAAGAGCTGCACAGGGCCATCCAGTCCAACCCCCTGTCATGAAGGAATACACAATTAAAGCACTCCTGACAGATGACCATCCAGCCTCTGCTTTAAAAACCTTCAGAGAAGGAGAGTCCACCATACTCTGAGGAATATATTCCACTGCTGAACAGCCCAAAATGTCAGGAAGATCTTCCTAATGTTTAGATGGAATCTTTCCCCTACATTTTGAATCCATTGCTCTGTATCATAGGATCCTTCCACACAGCCATATAACCCAGAATATCAAGGCAGAAAATCCCACAATATGGGTTATCTGTCCACACTGCCAGATATAATAATAATAATAATAATAATAATAAAAAATTAAATGTCTAGATGTCATCGGGGTATGTGAAAATATTAGAAAGTTCACTGAAAATGCAATTAAACAATGGAAAACTGAGTTGTTCGTGGGCAAAGAAAGATATGATACTGTTAAAATCAAGAGAGGAATTTTCCAAGGTGACTCATTACCACCACTGCTGTTCATCATTGCAATTATCCCACTGTCAGTAATTCTACAGAAAACAAATCTAGGCTACCAAACAGCAAGAAATTCACCAAAAAAATCCCACTTACTGTACATGGATTATCTAAAGCTTTACGGAAAATCAGAAACTGAAATCGTGTCACTGACCAACAGTCAGAATCTTCAGCACTGACATCAGTATGGAGTTTGGCCTAGACAAATGTGCCACAATGGCAGTAAAGAAAGGGAAAATTACACACAGTGAGGGCATAGAGATGCCAAACGGACAAACCATGAAGTGCAATCAGCCTGAAGCCTATAAATATCTGGGCATACTATAGTTGGACAATGTCAAGCATGGGCAAGTGAAAAATGTGGTCAGAAAAGAATATATCCAAAGAGTCAGAAAGGTTTTGAAGAGCAAATTAAATGGCAGAAATACGATCAAGGCTATCAACACCTGGGCCATCATTAGATACACTGCTGGGATTGTGAACTGGACACAAGTAGAGCTGGATGATCTGGACAGAAAAACAAGACATTCTGTGTTTTTGTTTCAGTAAAAGAATGATGATGATGATGATCTTTATTTATAACCCACCACTATCTCCCCAAAGGGGACTCGGGGTGGCTAACATGAGGCCAAGCCCAGAATTACAGTACAACAAAATAGAATACAATACAAACAGCAAATAATAACATCAAAATAAAATACATATAATAACAGAAAATGAAATAAACAGGTTCAAAATAACGTGATGAAAAAATAAAATAAAAGCATGCTGGGTGGGCCAAATGCACAGAATAAGATTGATAAAACCCTGGGTTAGATAAGTAAATGGAGAAGTATATGTCTGTGGGGGAGCTCAGAAGGGGCTCAAAGCGGATTTTATTGGATTTTATTTAGCTGTGTCAAAGGGGCCTTAGTCTCCAGAGCAGGAGAAAACAAGTTGAGCCATCCTTGCCACAATAAGACTGTGAAGCAACACATCTTCAGATATACGTAGGGGGAACTCAGAAGCCCAAGGATCAAATGGGGATAAAAAGTGGGGTGAGTAACAGGAATCCAAGCACTGGAATTGTTGGGCCAGCCTGGAAGGAAATTTGTCACAATCACCAAAATCACTCTTCATATGCTGTCAATACTTACAGAAAAGTTGTTGTGATGACTCACAAAAAAACCCTATTGGAAATTAAGTTCAGATTAAAACAGTGAGAATACAATACAACATAACAACGTAACCACAGTTTCAAGCTGTAAAATAAAATTTAAAATCATATTCTTTCCTTCTTCGTAGTTACAATAGTCATCTGAAATGCAAATGGCATTTTCAGTTACTGTAATATTTTTCCTGGACTATATCACTTCACGCTGGAGGAAGTTGTGGAAATGTATAGTTGAATGCTTTCTTGAGCTGAGTTGTGATAAAACGTCAAATCTTCTAGTAGAAAACTAACACGTTAAGAGATAAATTCTATTTATCTTAATATGTTATTGAAAATGATATTTTTCTAGGTCCATTGATTTCCCCTCGGATGTAAACTCACTCCTGAAAGAGTTATCATGGGGAAAAGATGTTTCCACTGAAGCTTTTTCACCCATCCTTGTTTCACAAGCTGAATTTTTCAAAATCCAGTTATCACAGGGACAGAAAATGTAGTAAAATCTTCTGAACAGGGGCGCAGACAGCAAAACTTCTCTGTGCTATCCAAAGCTATAGATATAGATATATATACAGATATATAGATATATGGCTGGACTTGCACTTAAAAATGTACCTGTTCTGACTTACGTAAGAACAAACTTACAGATACCTCAAAAGTGTAGCACAAAGGTGATGGTCTTCCCCAGTAAATTCTAATGCATTTCAAACGTGTGTATTTTTATATTAATCTTTTAGCATTCATGAACCCCAACTGCAACACCACATAGCTCAGAAGAAAATCCCATACATTGATGTGGCTACGGGGAAACTTCTGAAACCAGACAAACCAAATGGAATTAAGATGGAGAAGTTTGTTTTTGACATCTTCCAGTTTGCCAAGTAGGTCATTGGGTTTTCCCAGATCATTTATTTATTTATTTATTTATTTATTTATTTATTTATTTATTTATTTATGTGTCGGGGCGACTTGAGAAACTGCTGGTTACTTCTAGTGTGAAAGCATTGGCCATCTGCGAAGACGTTGCCCAGGGGATGTCTGGGTATTTGATGTTTTTACCATCCTGTGGGAGGCTTCTCACATGTCCCCGCATGGGAAGCTGGAGCTGACAGGGGGAGCTCAACCCACTCTCCCCAGATTCAAACCGCTGACCTGTCTTCAGCAGTTCTGCTGGCACAAGGGTTTAACCGGGGCCTCCCGGATGCCTTCATTCTGTTGCGATCTTCATTTGATATGTCATCTTTTTCTTCCTTTTTGTTTCAAAAGTAATTCTGTTTGTCATAATATTTATTTATTTATTTATTTATTTATTTATTTATTTATGACATTTATATGCCGCCCTTCTCACCCCAAAAGGGACTCAGACCGGCTTACAAGAGAGAGAGATATATATACACACACACACACACACACACACACACACACACATACATACATACACACACACACATACACACAAAATATATTATGTTATTAGAATAGTACAATATTAGTATTATATATTACTATATTTTACTATACCATTATATTGTAATATTATTAGTAATATTACATGTAAAATAAAATATACAATTATAATATTGCATTATTATTATTAGAATTATACTGTATTACATTATAATATTATAAATATTATATGTATATACAATATATTATATTATATTATATTATATTATATTATTAGTAAAGGACAAGAGACAAGATGGAGATGTCTTCTGTCCCCCTCTCTCTTCATTCTGGCCCAGAGAAGCCCATATTTCATATCCTATTGCTTCTGAATGGATCTTGGCTTGCTGAAAGTCCCCTTTCATTCTGTTTGGTACTTAAGTTGATGTCTGATATGTATTTATAGGATTGCATAATTAAATGGCTTGATTTTCACAGTATAATCTAGAAGCTTTAGATTCTTCTAGCATGTTGGCTTAACCTTTCGCCTTTATCCTGTCACCAGAAATTTCGTGGTTTATGAAGTGTTGCGAGAAGACGAGTTCTCCCCTTTAAAGAACGCAGATAGCCACAACGGCAAGGACAACCCCACCACGGCACGGCACTCTCTGATGTCACTACATCACCGCTGGGTTCTCAATTCTGGTGGTCATTTCGTGGATGAGAATAAGACACGCCTTCCTGCTATTCCCTGGTAAAATGAATTTGGCCTTTCTCTGTCTTTTACCTTCTATCCCTAATGTGTAGTAAGAGTAAGCTCTATAAGTCTGAATATTATTGCTGTCAATTTACAACAATATTCAATATTCAGAGATGCTGTATGTTCCACTGGATAGGATTTTCACCCTATCTGATGCAGGAGTCTTCTTCACTACGAGGGTTGAATGAAAAGTAATGCCTGCACCTTCGTTACTTGGATTTGGATGGGAATATTTTAATAAATCAAACACAGAAATAATTCTTAGAATGTGCTCTTCAACTACCACGATTCACTTTTCCACATAATCACCAGACAATTGGATACATTTCTGCCAACAATGAACACGTTTTCTGAAGCCGTCATGGAAGAAGTCAACACTCTGTTTCCGCAACCAGCATCTCACAGTTCTCTCAATGTCTTAATCAGAAGCATAATGAAGTCCTCGCAGATCTTCTTTCATTATCGGGAATAGATGGAAGTCAGACTGTGCTAAATCTGGACTGTATGGAGGATGTCATATGGTGGTGAAGTTTCAAGAAGGTGCTGAAATTTCAAGTCTGTGCTTTCATTTCCGGCATCAGCATCCTGGGTACCCATCATGCACAGATCTTCCGATAGCCAAGCAAAGCAATAATGTGACCCACACATTCTTGTGAAATGCCAATTATGCTTGAAATTTCTCTCTGAGTGATACGACAATCGTCCTGAATCAATCTGTCAACTTTTTGCTTGTGAAACTCGGTGGTTGCTGTCACAGGACATCCAACTCTTTGTTTGTCACGCAAGTCAGATGTTCCCACCTCAACATCTTTAAACTTACTCTCCCAACGAGGCACAGTACTCACATCAACACAATCACCATAAACAGCTTGCATTCTCTGATGAATCTCCTTTGAGGTGCTGCTGTCAAGAATTCAATGACTGCACATTGCTTAAGTCACAATGACCGACCGTCTGCGCAGGGTTCCATACTTCACATTTTGACAACACAACCGTTCAATGCTAAGGCTTCCTGCCAAAATGGAACTGTAGAGGAGAGTCTACTGAACAAGCCAGTACCTGCCACATATCAGTACTTCCATCTGTTGAGGAGTTACGAAGCTGGAGGCATTATTTTTCATTCAACCCTTGTACATAATAGCAGTGTTTGCGAATGTGAGATAATTATACTGTGGTCCTGTTGGGACAGATTTCTTTGGGTTCATGTAGGAAGAGATGGTGACACCAGCAGAAGGATGCTGATGTCAAGTTCCCATTTTCTCCTGTAGATCTTCTCCAGGTGGTCATCCATCAATCTTAATGTGATAAGATATTTGGTGTGATATTATTTGGTGAGGAAGGTGTTGTGAAGTTTATCTGACCATCATTCAGATCTCTCAGTCCTACATCCCCATAATAAAAAGGTTGTCTAAAACCGTTTCGCTTGGGTAAGAATCTGTGTTTCTGAAAATTGGCCAAGAAGCTTCTTCAATTCAGAACTAGAATTGAGAAGAAAGTTCAAATCAATGCATGATATGTGTGAAAGGGTTTATTTATTTATTTATTATTTCCGGTATTTCTATCCCGTTCCTTCTCAACCCCCGAAGGGGGACTCAGGACGGCTTACATTTGGCAGCAATTCGATGCCACTACATATAACACAGCAATATAATAACAGTTAAAACAATAAGTAAAACATTCATTAAAACAGTAAAAAAAAAGTATTAATAGCCGTAACATCATTCCAGTCAATTCCATATCCAATTCCATGTCCAAAGTGCTATCTATGCCTGTTGTCCAAAAGCCTGGTCCCAGAACCACGACTTTAATATCTTTCTAAATGACGGGAGGGACAGAGCCGATCTTACCTCAGTGGGAAGCAAGTTCCATAAGTGGGGGGCCACAGCCAAGAAGGTCCTGTCTCTCGTCCCCACCAGGTGTATTTGTGACGCCGGTGGGAGCAAGAGCAGGGCCTCCCCGGATGATCTTAAACTTCAATTTAGAAGTAGAAGGATGAGTAGCAGGTCATTACCATTTTGCTTGGCATTGTGATAACTCAAGCTTAGGTCCTGGTTGGAATTATTGACTAAACAGACATACCATAGCAGACACCATATAGGACTGTCAGGTAAATCTGATGATTTGATTTGGGATATCTCATAACTTAATTTCCCTTCTCAATAATCCCTTTTTCCCCACCTGACAGTTGCACTAATGGAAGTTCAGATGTGAATCAAGATGATGTCAATCACAAGTAAATATACTGGGTTGTTGGGGATGCATGGTGATGGGTCTGTGCTTGGGTACTGAGTGGGAGATCTTTCTGCAGCATGCAGGATCTTAGTGCTTAACCTGCTTTTTCAGGGAAAAGCATTGTTGCTATGATGTACTTGCTTTGCAAGAACTCTTTGAACTAATACTAAACAAGGCTTACACTAGGAAGGCACTGCATGTCTGACTAGTAAATTCTGTAGCTTCTTGCCATGGTTAAAATTAAATATACCGGTAAGTGAGCAACATTCCTCTGGGAAATCTGTGAAGTATCTTCAGGGCTTAAATAAGAATTATTGTATATACTCGAGTATAAGCCTAGTTTTTCAGCCCCTTTTTTAGGCTGAAAAAGCTCCCTTCGGCCTATACTGGAATCAAGGTTATTTATTATTTTTCTCTTGTTATTAGTATTATTTTTATTACATTTATTTTACACTATTTATTATCATTATTACATTTACAGTATTTTACCCTATTATTATTACATTTATTATTTTACTCTATTTATTATTATTATTGTTGTTGTTCATTCGTTCAGTCGTCTCCGACTCTTCGTGACCTCATGGACCAGCCCACGCCAGAACTCCCTGTCGGCCGTCACCACCCCCAGCTCCTTCAAGGTCAGTCCAGTCACTTCAAGGATGCCATCCATCCATCTTGCCCTTGGTCGGCCCCTCTTCCTTTTGCCTTCCACTTTCCCCAGCATAATTGTCTTCTAGGCTTTGCTGTCTCCTCATGATGTGGCCAAAGTACTTCAACTTTGTCTCTAGTATCCTTCCCTCCAGTGAGCATTTGGGCTTTATTTCCTGAAGGATGGACTGGTTGGATCTTCTCGCAGTCCAAGGCACTCTCAGAACTTTCCTCCAACACCACAGCTCAAAAGCATCGATCTTCCTTCGCTCAGCCTTCCCTAAGGTCCAGCTCTCACATCCGTAGGTTACTACAGGGAATACCCTGGCTTTGACTAGGCGGATCTTTGTTGCCAGTCTGATGTCTCTACTCTTTACTATTTTATCGAGACTGGACATTGCTCTCCTCCCAAGAAGTAAGCGTCTTCTGATTTCCTGGCTACAGTCTGCATCTGCAGTAATCTTTGCACCTAGAAATACAAAGTCTGTCACGGCCTCCACATTTCCTCCCTCTATGTTCCAGTTGTCAATCATTCTTGTTGCCATAATCTTTGTTTTTTTTATGTTTAGCTGCAACCCAGCTTTCGCTTTCTTCTTTCACCTTGATTAGAAGGCTCCTCAGCTCCTCCTCGCTTTCGGCCATCAGAGTGGTGTCATCTGCATATCTGAGGTTGTTAACGTTTCTTCCAGCAATTTTTACCCCAGCTTTGCATTCATCCAGCCCCGCACATCGCATGATGTGTTCTGCATACATGTTAAATAGGTTGGGTGAGAGTATGCAGCCTTGCCGTACGCCTTTCCCAATCTTGAACCAGTCTGTTGTTCCGTGGTCAGTTCTGACTGTTGCTACTTGGTCCTTGTACAGATTCCTCAGGAGAGAGACCAGGTGGCTTGGGATGCCCATCCCACTAAGAACTTGCCACAATTTATTATGATCCACACAGTCAAAGGCTTTAGAATAGTCAATGAAGCAGAAGTAGATGTTTTTCTGAAACTCCCTGCCTTTCTCCATTATCCAGCGGATATTGGCAATCTGGTCTCTCGTTCCTCTGCCTTTTCTGAACCCAGCTTGAACATCTGGCAACTCTCGCTCCATGTATTGCTGGAGTCTTCCTTGCAGGATCTTGAGCATTACCTTACTGGCATGAGAAATAAGGGCCACTGTACGGAAGTTTGAGCAGTCTTTCGCATTTCCCTTTTTTGGAATGGGGATATAAGTTGATTTTTTCCAGTCTGATGGCCATTCTTGTGTTTTCCATATTTGCTGGCAAATGGCATGCATCACCTTGACAGCATCATCTTTTAAGATTTTAAACAGTTCAGCTGGGATCCCGTCTTCTCCTGCTGCCTTGTTGTTAGCAATGCTTCTTAAGGCCCATTCAACCTCACTCCTCAGGATGTCTGGTTCTAATTCATTCACCACACCGTCAAAACTATCCTCGATATTATTATCCTTCCTATACAGATCTTCTGTATAGTCTCGCCACCTTCTCTTGATCTCTTCAGCTTCTGTTAGGTCCCTGCCATCTTTGTTTCTTATCATACCAATTTTTGCCTGAAATTTACCTCCAATGTTTCTAATTTTCTGGAAGAGGTCTCTTGTCCTTCCTATTCTGTTGTCTTCTTCTACTTCCATGCATTGCTTATTTAAAAATAGTTCCTTATCTCTTCTGGCTAACCTCTGGAATTGCGCATTTAACTGGGCATATCTCCCCTTATCCCTGTTTCCTTTTGCTTTCCTTTCTTGGGCTACTTCCAGTGTCTCAGCAGACAACCATTTTGCCTTCTTGGTTTTCTTTTTCTTTGGGACGTACTTTGTTGCCGCCTCCTGAACAATGTCTCGGACTTCTGTCCATAGTTCTTCTGGGACTCTGTTTACTAAATCTAGTCCTTCAAATCTGTTCTTCACTTCCACTGTATATTCGCTAGGAATGTTAATGAGATCATATCTAACTGGTCTGTGTATTTTCCCTGATCTCTTTAGTTTTATTCTAAATTGGCAATAAGAAGTTCGTGATCTGAGCTACAGTCAGCCCCAGGTCTTGTTTTCACCGACTGGATAGATGTCCGCCACCTTTGGCTGCAAAGGATGTAGTCAATCTGATTTCAGTGTTGACCATCTGATGAGGTCCATGTATAAAGCCGTCTTTTAGGTTGTTGGAAGAGAGTATTCGTTATACACAGCGAGTTTTCCTGGCAAAATTCTATCAGCCTGCGTCCCGCTTCATTTTGTTCTCCCAGACCATGCTTGCCTGTGATCCCTGTTGTCATTTGACTTCCCACCTTGGCATTCCAGTCTCCTGTAATGAAAATAATGTCTCTTTTTGGTGTATTATCCAGTAGGTCCTGCAGATCCTCATAGAACTGATCTACTTCTGCTTCTTCAGCAGCTGTGGTTGGGGCGTATATTTGTATCACTGTAATGTTGAAAGGCTTTCCTTGCACTCGAATTGGGATCTCTGTAATGTTGAAAGGCTTTCCTTGCACTCGAATTGAGATCATTCTGTCATTTTTTGGGTTGTATCCAAGCACCACTTTAGCGAATTTCTTATTAATTATGAAGGCTACTCCATTTCTTCTATGTTCCTCTTGTCCGCAGTAGTAGATCTGGTGGTCATCTGATGTGAAGTGGCCCATTCCAGTCCATTTCAGTTCGCTGACCCCCAGAATGTCTATCTTTAGTCTTGACATCTCACCAATAACACATCCAATTTGCCCTGGCTCATAGATCTTACATTCCAGGTTCCTATGGTGTGTTGATCTTTAGAGCATCGGATTCGTCGTTCACCTCCAGTACCGTCGGCCGCTAGCCTTCCTTTCGGCTTTGAGCTAGCTGCGTCATCACATCTGGTGCTAGTTGAACTTATCCTCTGCTCCTCCCCAGTAGCATTTTGGCCATCTTCCGACCTGGGAGTCCCATCTTCCAATGGCATACCGACATATCTCTGGTTGTACTGGTCCATTTAGTTTTCTTGGCAAGGATACTGGAGTGGTTTGCCATTGCCTTCCCCAGGGATCACGCTTGGTCTGACCTCTCTGCCACAACCGTCCCGTCTTGGGTGGCCCTTCACGGTTTCGCTCATGACATCATTGAGGTGCTCAAGCTCCAGCGCCCCAACAAGGCGGTGATCCTTATTATTACATTTATTAATTTACTTTATTATTATTGCATTTATTATTTTACTCTATTCTTACTGTTATAATTGCATTTCCATTATTTTACTCTATTGTTAGGAGCCCCCGGTGGCACAGTGGGTTAAACCCCTGTGCCGGCAGGACTGAAGACCGACAGGTCGCAGGTTCGAATCCGGGGAGAGGCAGAGGAGCTCCCTCTATCAGCTCCAGCTCCTCATGCGGGGACATGAGAGAAGCCTCCCACAAGGATGATAAAAACATCAAATCATCCAGGCGTCCCCTGGGCAACATCCTTGCAGACGGCCAATTCTCTCACACCAGAAGCGACTTGAAGTTTCTCAAGTTGCTCCTGACACGACAAAAAAACAACTCTATTATTATTATATTTATTATTTTACTCTCTTTATTGTTGGAAGGATACATAAGTATGTTTACGTTAAAGAAGGTTAAAATAATGATTTAATCAGAGTTGGGCAGTCTTATCTTAAATTACAGTCTTATGTAAATATTCAAAAATATTTCACCTCCTGATGCCTCAGTTAATGTAATTTTATTGGTTATCTATTTTTATTTTGAACTTTACCCATAGCGCCTGCATTTCCCACCCTCGGTTTATACTCGAGTCAATACGTTTTCCCAGTTTTTTGTGGTAATATTAGGTGCCTCGGCTTATATTCGGGTCGGCTTATACTCGAGTATATACGGTAATTTTTGTGCAAATTAGGGCTGCGCTATATTTGTTTAGTTTTTGTGTAACTCTAGTTTGGATCCTGTATTTAACTCAGCCTATTTTCCTGAAGTTTGAAGGTGCAGTAACACGGTATGTGTGCTGCTTTTCCATATAGGATCCTTGCCGTAATTGAGTATTCACTTTAAACTACAATTCCCAGTGGGGAATCAATCTCTCAATCTCAATCTCTCATATCATTTTTGTAGCAAGAGAAACATTGTGGATGAAATGTTTTTATGCCATTTAGAAATGCTCTGCATATTCCAACCTATTTTTACAAGTCTGAAAAATAGTTTTAAAGGGATATTTATGTGAAGCTGGCGGGTTAAATCTTTACTTCCTTTTCTTTGTTGCAGCTATTGCACCTGTCTTGATATGCATTTAATACATTCATGTTGCACGCTTGACTAATATCTGGGGATACAGGTGATGCGCCTTCTGCCTGGACATCATTTTGGCTTCCACGTCTGCTGCTGAACTTTTTCTCTTGGCAGGAACAGAGCAAAATGCTAATCTCATAGCAAAGGCCTTGAAAATGCAAAGGCAATGAACTGTCTCTCCTACCTAACTTGTGCTTTTTTCTTCTTTAGTTTGAAAGATGCCAGTGATGTCCCTATTCAGTGTGAGATTTCTCCTCTTGTGTCCTATGGGGGTGAAGTAAGTCATCCCTTGTTTACATTTACACATAATGTCTTTTGATGCACTTTATCTCACCCTTCAGTGAACTAAATCCCATTGTTTGTCCCATCCGAACCTCCCACCAGGTATATCACCTTACTCATCCATCTCACCCAGGGTTTTAAAAATCCTGTTCATTGTATTTGGCCCTGCCCACTTGGTTATTGTTTTGTTATTTACGTTTTACCTTGCGTTTATTTTATATTATTTTTTATTGTATTGTATTATATTTGTTGTATTCATTATGATTTTATGTTGTATTTATTTATATATTTATTTATTATTTGCGGCTTTTATATTCCGCCCTTCTCACCCTGCAAGGGACTCAGGGCGGATCACAGTGTACACATATATGGCAAACATTCAATGCCAATTTTTGACATACAAACATTTACAGACATACACAGAGGCTATTTAACTTTTTCTGGCCGCCAGGGGAGTTGTCGCTTTCATCGTCCATCTGCGATGCTGATGAAGCACTTCCGCATTCCCCACATGCTTCCCCGCTGGAGTGCTTTGCTGGAGTCTTCTTTATGGCCTCATAAATCAGTTAATTTAACCTCCCCACACTTTTTTAAAAAAAATTCCTACTTGACAGATGCAACTGTCTTTCGGGTTGCAAAGGTCGACAACAGGCTACACACAATTGGTTGGAAACCCACTCCAACCCAGGCTGGCTTCGAACTCATGACCTTTTTGGTCAGAGTGATCTTAATGTAGCTGACACTCAGCCAGCTGTGCCACAATCCCGGTATTCTTTTGCTTTACTGTAACTGTTGGGCTTGGCCTCATGTTAGCCACCCTGAGTCCCCTTGGGGAGATGGAGGTGGGGTATAAATAAAAGTTATTATTATTATTATTATTATTATTATTATTATTATTATTATTATTTGAAACACAGCAAGATGAGTCCACAGCAGACATTCTGCTGCCTGTTGGATTGGATCACACGTCGGACACTTCCCAAGTGTCTAGGACTGTGTGATGTATCGGTGAATAATGCGTGCAGATCCCAGTAAGGGGGCCTTTTGCAGCTAGCAGATGGTAATTTTGTCAGTGCCAATTGTGTTTAAGTGCAGGCCAAGGTCTTTAGGCACTGCACTCAGTGTTCCGATCACCACTGGGACTACCTTTTCTGGTTTGTGCCAGAGTCTTTACAGTTTGATTTTTAAATCCTCATATCGTGTCAGCTTTTCCAGTTATTTCTCTGCAATCCTGCTGTCACCTGGGATTGTGACATCGACGATCCATAGTTTGTTTTTTAACACGATTGTGGGGTCAGGAGTATTGTGCTCCAAAACTGTCCGTCTGAATGCGGAAGTCCCAGAGGAGTTTGGTGTGTTCATTCTCTGTAACTTTTTCTGGCTTGTGATCCCACCAGTTAGTTGTCGTAGGTAGATGGTATTTGTGGCATAAGTTCCAATGAATCATCTGACCAATGGTGTTATGCCTCTGCTTGTAGTCTGTCTGCGCAATCTTCTTGCAGCAGCTTATTATTATTATTATTATTATTATTATTATTATTATTATTATTATTCTGTACTAAGGTTAAGGCATTTTAATATAGAATGAAATCCTATATTGGAATATCCTGAGCATAAGCTCTGTGGAAATTAGATGCTGAATATCCACTCTATTTGGTGTAATTGAGAGGCAAACTAACTGAAGAGGCCTACATTAGTGATTCCCAAACTTCTCCATGGTTGACCTGGCCAATGATCTGGGATTAATGGAGCTGAAGCCCAACATTCCTGGAAGATCAGAGATTTGAAAACTCTGGCATACAAGATAGTAAAAGGTCGGAACACCTAGTCCCTGTTAAGTAACGGCTAAGTGCGCTGGGTATGTCTAATGTGAAGAATAGTAAACTCAGATGTGATATGATCACCGTCTTTAAATAATTGGAGGGATGGAATTAATGCCTCTCTAGAGAATAGGATGCAGACCAATGGATTCAAAGTACAAGCAAAGAGATCCTAGCAAAACATTAAGAAGGACTGTCTGATGAAACAACAAGGATGTCACGTAGGATGTCTACTGCAGACCTCCAAGCCAGACTGGGGACTTGGGTGATGCCTTCTTGAAACCACATAATCTCACATTCAGAAAGGAGGGGTATTGTAATGGTGAGAGATTTCAGCTATCCTTTGATTTATTGGAAGACACACTCTGGGAGGAATATCAGAATCAAGAAATTCCTCACTTGTCTTCCAGACAATTTCCAAAACTTCCAGGAATTAAATTAAATCCATACCTGGCCGTGAAAGTGACTGGGTCAGTCCCTTCCTCTTGATTTAATCTACCTTCTGCAGAATTGTTGCCAGAAACTGGAGAAGGGGCCATATATAATATATAGTTTGGGGGAAAGCTGAGATATACATGTAACAAATAAAGTCTAGATCTGTGCTTTAATTTTACTTGGTTTTTTAAATTAAAATTTAATATTACTACATTTGCTTCTTTTTCAGGGCCTGGAGGAGTTTGTGAAGGACAAAGAATTTCATGCCCCCCTGATTATTGATAGAAGTGGGGTTCATGAATGGGTGAAGAATGGGGTCTGAGTTCTCCACGAAGCCTCATTGTTTTGGTCCAGACTGAAAACGGAAACAAACATTTCAACAACACTCTTTAGATTTTCAATCAAATGATGTTTTCTCAAAATCCAGAATCTGACTGCACTTTGAAGGGATGCGGTACTTTTTCCTCTCTGCATCTTGGGGAGTTATCTATTTATCTATTTTTATTTTTTACAGAGGTCACACATTAAACATATTAAACAATAAATATGTTGTCTTTCTTGCTGCAGTGCTTGAACACACAGTCATTTTGTTTTAAAGATTGTAATGCATAATATGACCATATTATCATCTTATGTATTGGGGCTGAGAGTCTGATCTGAAATTCTGATTCTTCTGAAATATTCCTTGGTAGGATTTTTTTAAAAATTCTTTTACCCATATTAGTATTTTAACTACTGCAAACTATTAAGAACTGTAGAGGTTACACCATCAGAAGAAACAGAGAACTTCATCTATGCCGATGATCATGCCATCACCACTCAAGCAGGGAGCTTTAAAATGGTTGAACAGAATCTCTCCGAAATTTTAGGTGCTCTTACTGCCTATTACAGGGTAAACCAGCAGATTCCTAATCCATCTAAAACACAGACATGTGCTTTTCATCTTAAGAACAGACAACCTCCTCAAGCTCTGAGAATCACCTGGGAAGGAATCCCACTGGAGCATTGCAGCACACCAAAATACCTGGGAGTTACTCTGACCTGTGCTATGACTTATAAGAAGCACTGCTTGAATATCAAGCCAAAAGTGGGTGCTAGAAATAATATACGAAATCAAACTGGCACAACCTGGGGATCACAACCAGATACAGTGAAGACATCTGCCCTTGTGCTTTGCTACTCAGCTGCTGAATACACATGCCCAGCGTGGAACACATCTCACCACATTAAAACAGTGGATGTGGCTCTTAATGTGACATGCCATATTATCACAGGATGTCTACGCCCCACACCAGTATAGTCAGTATTGCACCACCTGACTTCCTTCGGGAAGTAGCAGCCAATAATGAAAGGACCAAGGCATTGATATCTCCAGTCCATCCTCTGTTTGGATATCAGCCAGCATGCCAATTACTTAAATCAAGAAACAACTTCCTAAGATCTACAGAGACACCTCAGCAAGTAAGAGTCCAAAAGTGGCAGGCTAAAACCTGGAACCTCAATCCATAGCTACTCATGGGAGTGTCATACAGGGAGCGTACTACTCCTCTGCTATGTCAGCTCAATTGGCTGCCGATCCAGTTCTGAGCACAATTCAAAGTGCTGCTCTTGACGTATAAAACCCTATACAGTTCCGGCCCAGCGTACCTGTCTGAACGTATCTCCTTCTACATTCCACCTAGGAATTTAAGATCTTCTGGAGAGGCCCTGCTTTTGGCCCCGCCCCTGTAACAAATGCGGTTGGCGGGGACAGGGCCTTCTCGGTGGTGGCCCTGGCCTGTGGAATTCACTCCCCTGGGAACTTAGGTCATCTTCATCCCTCCCCTTTAGAAGGAAATTAAAAACATGAAGTAGCCTTTGGGTAATCTTGCAGACTTGACGAGGACAATGACGACAATAGCTATAGAAACAGATTATGGACAAGCTCAATGGAGTCTCTAATTACAGAACTCGGCGAGACAACGGCTATCAGACTGATTTTCTTTTCTAGTAGATTTTATTGTATTAATTCAATTTTAGCAAATATAAACTTATTAGTATTTCAGTTGGAAGTGTGGGCCTTCTTTTGGCTGATGAGATAGGATTGTTTTTGTTGTCTGCTTTCAAGTCATTTCAGACTTAGGTTGACCCTGAGCGAGGGCCGGGTAAATGACCTTGGAGGGCCGCATCCGGCCCCCGGGCCTTAGTTTGAGGACCCCTGCTTTAACCACTACCGACTGCACTTGAGCCCTGGAAGCACATCAGTGTGGATGTTATTGTAGATTTGCTTATTAGCCATGAAAAAAACAAACAACAAAAAACATAATCTGGGTGGTAATTAACGTGTTCTTTAAGAAGGTGTATTTTATAGCATTCACCACACCAACAACCCCCCAATTAATTCAATTGTATATTGATCACATGCTCAAATACTATGATATAGCCCTCAAGGTGATTGCAGAGTAAGGCCCACAGTTCACCTCCCAATTCTGGAAATCAGTTTTAAGATTGATCTGTAATTGGTTAAGCGGACGAACCCAGGGGGTGCTCACCAATGCTTCCTCTTCATCCTGGAAAGAAGTGACGAGCGGAGTGCCGCAGGGTCTGCCCTGGGCCCGGTCCTATTCAATATCTTTATTAATGACTTAGATGAAGGGTTAGAAGGCATGATCATCAAGCTTGCAGACAACACCAAATTGGGAGGGATAGCCAATACTCCAGAGGACAGGAGCAGGATTCAAAACGATCTTGACAGATTAGAGAGATGGGCCAAAACTAACAAAATGAAGTTAAACAGAGAAAAATGCAAGGTACTCTACTTAGGCAGAAAAAATTAAATGCAAAGATACAGAATGGGGGGCAATGCCTGGCTCGAGAGCAGTACGTGTGAAAAAGATCTTGGAGTCCTCGTGAACGTTAAACATGAACCAACAATGTGATATGGCAGCAAAAAAAGCCAATGGGATTTTGGCCTGCATCAATAGGAGTCTAGTGTCTAGATCCAGGGAAGTCATGCTACCCCTCTATTCTGCCTTGGTTAGACCACACCTGGAATATTGTGTCCAATTCTGGGCATCACAATTGAAGAACAATACTGACAAGCTGGAATGTGTCCAGGGGAGGGCGACTAAAATGATAAAGATTTAAGCTGCCCTATGAAGAGCAGCTTAAAAAGCTGGGCATGTTTAGCCTGAAGAAGAGAAGGATGAGAGGAGACATGATAGTAGCCATGTATAAATACATGAGAGGAAGTCATAGGGAGGAGGGAGACAATACTATGAATACTACGACCCAAAAAAATGCTGAGAAAGAATTGATAGCAAGTGAGCACCAGTTGAATCAAGAATTCACAGATCTCACCACATCTGACAGAGCAAGTATAATAAAGATGACTTGCTCTACAATGGAGGCCAGAGATGATGGTGATGAAGTGGAATCTATCTCTCTGTTCTCCGTTAACGAAGGTGCTGCTAATTGCTCCATTGACCCAGGCCTAACGGAAGTGACTCCCTCACCAGCATTAAAAAGACAATTGTCTTCATATAAAGACATTATATAAAGAAACTAGCTGTCCCCTGCCACGCGTTGCTGTGGCCCAGTCTGTTGATCTGGAAAATAAAGTAATGAGAAAGTGTTGGTTTCTAATATATGTAATTTCTTTATGTTTGTGGGTAAACAGTATTTCTTGCTGTTTCTTTGTCAGTGTTGATGTGGAGAGTGTCTGGTTTGCCCACCCTGGAACATGCAACATATAATTGTCCTTCTTTAAGGGTCCCTTTCAAATCTATGATACTATATCTCTCTGTGTGTGAATAATATCTATCTATCTATCTATCTATCTATCTATCTATCTATCTATCTATTAATCTATGGCTGGATGGCTCTTTGTCAGGAGGACTTTGATTACATTTTTTTGCCCTGATGAAGGGAGTTGGATTGGATGGCCTTAAGTATTTTCTGTTGGTCATGGGGGTTCTGTGTGGGAAGTTTGCCCCGATTCTGTCGTTCGTGGGGTTCGGAATGCTCTTTGATTGTAGGTGAACTGTGAATCCCAGTGACTACAACTCCCAAATGTCAAGGTCTATTTCCCCCAAACTCCATCTGTGTTCATATTTGGCCATATTGAGTGCTTGTGCCAAGTTTGGTCCAGATCCATCTTTGTTTGAGTCCACAGTGCTCTCTGGATGTAGGTGAACTACAACTCCCAAACTCAAGGTCAATGCCCACCAAACCCTTCCAGTATTTTCTGTTGGTCATGGGAGTTCTGTGTGCCAAGTTTGGTTCAATTCCATAATTGGTGGAGTTCAGAATGCTCTTTGATTGTAGGTGAACTATAAATCCCAGCAACTACAACTCCCAAATGACTAAATCATAATTTTTGAGTGATGGTCACTCCTTGTGTTGTGAGACGTTTTGTTGCCAAATTTGGTGTGATTTCGTTCATTTGTTCTTTTGTTTTTAAGGTACTCATTATGCACAGAACATTTTTATATATATATATTATATTTATAAAGAATTTATATTTATATTCTTCATATAAAGAAATCATAAACACTCTTAAAGAGAGGTCTGGCAGACTTCACCCAGCAGCTAGTGTGTTTGAGTGTGTTTAAGAAGTCAAGGGTCTAGAGAACAAGCCCTATGAGGAGCGGCTTAAGGAGCTTGGCATGTTTAGCCTGAAGAAGAGAAGGCTGAGAGGAGATATCATAGCCATGTGTAAATATGTGAGAGGAAGCCACAGGGAGGAGGGAGAAAGCTTGTTTTCTGCTTCCTTGGAGACTAGGACACGAAACAATGGCTTCAAACTACAAGAGAGGAGATTCCACCTGAACATGAGGAAGAACTTCCTGACTGTGAGAGCCGTTCAGCAGTGGAACTCTCTGCCCCGGAGTGTGGTGGAGGCTCCTTCTTTGGAGGCTTTTAAACAGAGGCTGGATGGCCATCTGTCAGGGGTGCTTTGAATGCAGTTTTCCTGCTTATTGGCAGGAGATTGGACTGGATGGCCCATGAGGTCTCTTCCAACTCTTTGATTCTATGATTCTTGCATCTTCCTGATACAGAAAGGAGATTTCACCTGAACATGAGGAAGAACTTCCTGACTGTGAGAGCCGTTCAGCAGTGGAACTCTCTGCCCTTCTGGTGGGGGCTCCTTCTTTGGAAGCTTTTAAACAGAGGCTGGATGGCCATCTGTTGGGGGTGCTTTGAATGCAATATTCCTGCTTCTTGGCAGGGGGTTGGACTGGATGGCCCAGGAGGTCTCTTCCAACTCTAGGATTCTATGGTTCTATAATAATAATGTGGAAGGTGATGCTAGAAATCTCCTTCAGTTCTTCTCCAAGGTGGTACTCAAAGCTGGATTCTTTTGTGCCTTTTGATGTTTCTGAATGGTTCCCCATTAACCCTTTTTCCAGGGGGTAAAACCAAGCCTGACCCCCTCGTCCAATGAAACGCTTCCCAGCCTTGGTGCGCGTGCCATGAGTGGGCTTTGCCTGCAGCCCTTCATATTCCGGAGCGGGCAGGGAGTGAGGGAGTGAGCGAGCGCGCGAGCCTGCCTGCCTTCCTCCCGTTCCCTAATTGAAACCAAATGTGGGCTCGGTTGGATTGTGGGATTTCTGGCCCGGCCCCAGGCCTCCTCGGAAGGCGAGCCTCTCTCTCGCGAAGGCCTCTCTTGCATCAGCCTCTCCTTGCCCGACGGCCTGCTTGCCTGCCTGCCTGCCTGCCTTCCACCGCCCGGGCCCTGGAGCCGCTCTCGACCCGCTTCTCCGCCGGATCCCAGCCCTCCTTCTCTTCACAGCCAGGTAGGGACTTTGTAGGCTTTGGAGAGAGGCGCAATCTCAGCGGGCGCTGCCTTCTGGGCCTCCTCTGCTGAGAGGAATCTCTGACACAAAGACTAGCCCAAATTTGGGAGAGTCAAGCCGCGTCTACACTGCCAGAAATAATCCAAATCAGTGCAGTCAGTATACGTGTAGGCCCAGCCTTTGAGAAAGAATTAAGAGTCTCCCAAACTGTACATTTTTCTGGCAGGCCTACATGAGGAGGAGGAGGGCATTAAATAGGATTTTTGTAGAAACGTTTCCAGGCTGGTGGATTACAGATGCTGTTGACGGTTTTATGGCAGCAGGGATGGGACACAAAGGGGCCTTCCAGGCAGGCCCTGAATCCCAAGATCTGATCCCAGGGTTTCTGCTTTAATCCGGATTATATGAGTCCATACTGCCAGATAATCCGGGATAAACAGAAAACCTGGGATCACATCCTGGGATATAGGGCCCATCAGGAAGTGCTCTGAGAGTAATAGGTTTGGAAGGTAGGGGGGAAAATACACACAGATATATAAAGACCCCTTCTGTGGGATCTTCCAGACAGGCCCTATGTCCCAGGATCTGATGCTAGGTTTTCTGCTTTGAACTAGACTATATGAGTCCATACTGCCAGATTATCCGGGATAAACAGAAAACCTGGGATCATATCCTGGGATATAGGGCCTGTCTGAAAGGGCTCTAAGAGTAATACGTTTGGAAGGTAGGGGGGAAAATACATACAGATGTATACAATACACGTTGAACTACATGGCAATATGGACTCAGATAATCCAGTTCAAAGCAGATACTGTGGATTATCTGTCTTGATATTCTGAGTTATATGGCTGTGTGGAAGAAGAGTCCGAAGGCCCCTTTCTTTGGCATCTTCCAGAGAGGCCCTATGTCCCAGGATCTGATCCCAGTTTTTTTTGCTTTAAACTGGATTATATGAGTCCACACTGCCAGATAATCCGGGATAAACAGAAAACCTAGGATCACATCCTGGGATATAGGGCCTGTCTGGAAGTGCTCTGAGAGTAATAGGTTTGGAAGGTAGGGGAAAAAATACACACAGATGTATAAAGACCCCTTCTGTGGGATCTTCCAGACAGGCCCTATGTCCCAGGATCTGATCCCAGGTTTTCTGCTTTAAAATGGATTTTATGAGTCCACGCTGCCAGATTATCCGGGATAAATAGAAGACCTGGGATTACATCCTGGGATACAGGGCCTGTCTGGAAGGGCTCTAAGAGTAATAGGTTTGGAAGTTAGGGGGGGAAATACACACAGATGTATAAAATCCATGTTGAACTACATGGCAGTGTGGACTCTGATAATCCAGTTCAAAGCAGATACTGTGGATTATCTACCTTGGTATTCTGAGTCCAATGGCCCCTTCTATGGGATCTTCCAGACAGGCTCTATGTCCCAGGATCTGATCCCAGTTTTTTGTTGTTGCTTTAAACTGGATTATATGAGTCCACACTGCCAGATAATCCAGGATAAACAGAAAACCTGGGATCACAACCTGGGATATAGGGTCTGTCTGGAAGGGCTCTAAGAGTAATAGGTTTGGAAGGTAGGGGAAAAAATACACACAGATCTATACAATCCACATTGAACTACATGGCAATATGGACTCAGATAATCCAGTTCAAAGCAGATACTGTGGATTATCTGTCTTGATATTCTGAGTTATATGGTTGTGTGGAAGAAGAGTCCGAAGGCCCCTTTCTTTGGCATCTTCCAGACAGGCCCTATGTCCCAGYATCTGATCCCAGTTTTTTTTTTACTTTAAACTGGATTATATGAGTCCACACTGCCAGATAATCCAAGATAAACAGAAACCCTGGGATCACTTCCTGGGATATAGGGTCTGTCTGGAAGGCTCTCTGTAAGAGTAATAGGTTTGGAAGGTAGGGGAAAAATACACACAGATGTATAAAGACCCCTTCTGTGGGATCTTCCAGACAGGCCCTACGTCCCAGGATCTGATCTCAGGTTTTCTGCTTTAAACTGGATTATATGAGTCCACACTGCCAGATAATCCGGGATAAACAAAAACCTGGGATCGCAACCTGGGATATAGGGCCTGTCTGGAAGGGCTAGTAATAGGTTTGGAAGGTAAGGGGGGAAATACACGATGACCCCTTGTACACAGATGTATAAAATCCTCATTGAACTGGGTTATATGGCAGTTTGGACTCAGGTAATCCACTTCAAAGCAGATACTGTGGATTATCTGCCTTGATATTCTGAGTTAAATGGCTGTGTGGAATTGTCCGAAGGCCCCTTCTATGGGATCTTCCAGACAGCCCAATGACCCAGGATCTGATCCCAGGTTTTCTGCTTTAAACTGGATTATATGAGTCTACACTGCCAGGTAATATGGGATAAACAGAAAACCTGGGATCAGACCCTGGGATATAGGACCTGTCTGAACAGGCTCTACACTGCCATATGAAGTCCACATTATCTGCTTTGAACTGAATTGAAATACAGTGTAGACTCATATAATCCGGTTCAGGCAATGTGGATTATCTGTTTTGATAATCTTGATGACATAGCAGTGCAGAAGGGGCATCAGGGCCCTTACATAGCCCTGTAACCAAGAATATCAAGGCAGTTAATCAACAATATCTGCCTTGAACTGGGTTGTCTGAGTCCACACTGCCATATAATCCAGTTCTATGTGGATTTTATACAGCTGTGTGGAAGGAGCCTCTGCGTGAACTACTTTTACACCTTGAATTCAGTTTGTGGCAATCCAAGTAAGGTGAGGATAATGGAGGAAAGTAAAAAGAGAAGCGAGAAACTGAGATGTATTAAATGCATCTCAAAAAATTATGTGGCCGAGAATTAATTGCCAAATTGTTTGGATAATCTGGATTATGTGGCTGTGTAGAAGGGCCAAAACTGGGCCGCCTTTTGATGTCTCTTGGGCTGTTAGATCTTATTATTACTATTAGCTGTCCCCCGCCACGCGTTGCTATGGCCCAGTCTGTGTATATGTGTTTTGTGTGTGTGTATATGTGGTTTTGCACATGCGCTATAGCGTCGTTTTGCATTTTTGGTTTTTAAGTCTCTTCTGCTGTGTTTATCAGTGTTTTTATGAGTGATGGTCACTTGTTCGTCTAATAGGTGCATTGTGTCCAAATTTGGTGTCAATTCATCCAGTGGTTTTTGAGTTATGTTAATCCCACAAACGAACATTACATTTTTATTTATATATTTATATTTATTTATATTTATTTATGCCCCTCTTTTTCTCTCCACAAGAAGATTTAAAATGTCGTACATTTAAAAGCATTTCGGTACCATTTAAAATCTACCAATATATAAACCTTCAAACAGGATTAAATCTCATTGGTATTAAAACACTCCATAAAAAATGTAATAGAAACTAAAAACTACAGCAGCCCTGATTTAGGCCCCTTCTACACTGCCATATAATCCTGATTATCAAATCAGATAATCCACATTATTGTCTTTGAACTGGATTATCTGAGTCTACACTGCCATATGATCCAGTTCAAAGCAGATAATCTCGATTTTATACAGCAGTGTTGATGGTGTCTCAGACAGCGGCCTTATGATTGAACCAGAAAAGTTGCCATCTCCCATCCTCCCCCCCCCCCCAATAATATTTTTTTATTAATTTCTTATTGTTAAAACCTTCTCAACCACACCAGAATGGATAAAAAGCCTCGAATGAGCAACGTTTGTTTAGGCCCCTTCTGCTATATAATCCAGATTATCAAATCAGATAATCGATATTATCTGCTTTGAATTTTATTTATTTATTTAGTACATTTGTATCCCATCCTTCTCTCTCTCTCTCTCTCTCTCTCTCTCTCTCACACACACACACACACACACACACACACACACACACACACACACACACACACACGGAGGGGAGGGGACTCAGGGTGGCTTCACAACAAGCACTCATTCGAGTGCTAACCACAATCATAAAACATATTTAAAAAACAGTTAATTAAAATACATTAAGAAACATTTGATTAAACTTACACCGGTTCAAATTCAATGTCTGGGACAGTCCATTGTCATACATATTACATTGAGTCTTATTCCCAATTGCTGCTGCTACTGTTCAAATGCTTGATCCCATAATCAGGTTTTGCGGTTGAGGACAGGAGGGAGGGAGGCAATCTGATGTCACTGGAGAGAGAGTTCCACAGATGAGGGGCCACCACTGAGAAGGCCTTGTTTCTTGCGATGGTGGTGGGATCGAGAGCAGGGCCTCTCCAGCTGATCTTAAACTTTGTGATGTTCATAATGGGAGATACGTTCGGACAGGTAATCTGGGCCAGAACTGTTCAGAGCTTAAAAGGTTAAGACCAGCACTTTGAATTGTGCTCGGTAGCAGATCAACAGCCAGTGGAGCTGGCTTAAAAGAGGGGTTGTATGCTCTCTTTATGCCGCTCCGGTGAGGAACCTGGCTGCTGATGGTTGGAATAGTTGGAACTTCTGGACAGTCTTCAAAGGCAACCCCACGTAGAGTGCGTTGCAGTAGTCTATTCGGGATGTAACAAGAGTGTGGACCACCGTGGGGGTGCTTTGAATGCGATTGTCCTGCTTCTTGGCAGGGGGTTGAACTGGATGGCCCACACGGCCTCTTCCAACTCTATTATTCTAAGTCAGACTTCCCAAAGTACGGGCACAAGTCTACACTGCCATATAATGCAGTTCAAACAGATAATCTGGATTTTATATGGCAGTGTAGAAGGGGCCTTAGTTTCTGTACAATATTTACATTGACTTTGCGACTTCTTATCAATTCTATATAAACCACCATCTATCTATCTTTAATTTTGTCTTATTTTATCCTTTTCTGTATTGAATTCCTACATAACATAACCACTGGCAATCAGTAAAGCCTTTGACAAAGTTCCCTATGGTATTCACACAAATAAGTTTATTTATTAATTGTGTCAGAAGCAAATTGAGGGTATAGTGATAATATATTGAGA